TGCGATGTTAAGGTAACTCAAAATGTTTAACCACATGTTAAGAGTGGCATTTGATTTTATCTTGTTTTCATTATTGTTTGTTAGATTTCAGTTTGTTTTTGGTTCGGCTTTTAAAATAACACGGTTTCAGTGTCACATGGTTGCTGTTTGGTCTGTAGTTTCTAACTGGAATTTGAGTGATGGACAGAAAAAGAGCTTTTTGATTTTGTGTGTATGTGTCAGGTTTCTTTTATCATCCTCTGAAGCAAAATGGTGAAAAAAACAATGACTAAAAGTTTGTTTTATTTTTCCCCATAAAGCTATGCCTTTGTGACAAAGTGAACTTTGGACTTGTGAAAGATCCCATCTGTTGCAACGAAATATCAGACCTGTCTCCATTCATAATAAAACAGACCTACATTATATCCTTAAAACACTTTTTTCTTTGACTGTTTTCCTCCGCAGCAGTTTCTTTATTTCTCGGGCCGGTGTCGATTCCCCAGAACAGATTTCTGGAAAGCAAAGTGCCGCTGAGTTTCATCCTCAGCGATTGACTTTAAACGTGTAGACCGTTGAGAAGGAGTCCCTGTGCTCCAGAGCTGAATGCATGGTGTGGAGTTCACCTAGTGTATTGTTCATACTCCTAATCCCGCTGCTACAATGTTCAACTGTTGCTGAATGTCTGCTTTTTGAATTTAGCCTATGATTAATAAAAGCCGTTATAATTCCAAATCTGATTCAGGGGTAACCTCTTCTGTTCCAGCCGCTGGTCACACAAATTTGCTGTTCTCCACCAAAACAGCACGTTTGGTTTCAACTGGGAGGAGGCCGGAGTCTCCGTTGAAAAAGAGTTATTGGAAAATGAATGATGGCTGAATTCTACTTAGCCGCTTCAGTTGTGTTCTGGTGAATGCTAGCTCGCTGTCCTGACTCACTGGAACAATTCAATAGAACGGAGCTGTTGTTATTTCATTAAGAAACCTCTGCAGTTAATTATTTTAGGATTTTTCTAAAACACTGTCTTAATTAGAAAATGCATTGCCTTTTGAATATCTAGTGTTTCCCCACCATATGATCCTTGAGCAAGGCACTTACAGCATCATTGGCTCCAGCTAAATCTATACTCTACACACCTGGGTTTCCAACAGTTTGATCACATTGATCCAAAAACCCTATAACCTATATCCTACACCCTAACGTCCTACTGTGGCTCTGCTCTTTCACACCAGCTCAAGAAGAAGAAAAAATAAAAACCTGTAGGACTTTTGGGCCAATTATTATAATAGAAACATCAACCTGTAGACTATACCTCTGAGGTGGTGAGACCAGAGAGGAAAAGCTTTTGCGGTACAGTTGTATAACGGCCACTAGAGGGTGAATTTCAGTAAGACACTGATGTGAGATGACAACTAAGTTTCTTACTCCCTGTAAACCAAATAGAAACTCTTATATTAACTGAACTGAAGAAATTAATTTTTAAATTTACATTTGAAAATGTTTAATCTAAATAATCTACCGTTATTAGTTTTAGGAAATCATTTTCACCACAAACTGCAGATGTTGGGAAAACATTATTTCTTTATTCTTAACTTGCATATGAAGCACATATTGCACATCTCGGTTATGACGACTAACATGACATCACTCAACACAATGTAAAAACAAAGTATGCATTGGCATACACATTCTCCCTTTATGAAAAGGAATATGGCTTTAGTTAAAAACAACACCTGGCAACGTGGTCTCAGGTGACCAATTTCAAGGAGTATTAAGGCTTAAGGCATAACATGCACATTTTAAGGCCAATTTGTGGACCAATAAGATCAGTATTATATGGTATACATCTCTCATCTTTACCATCTTTTCCACTTTCTGTGGAGTGAAAGCACCCAACAGAAAACCAGATTTAAAGTCCTTTTCCATCTGAAGAATGTTTTCCATTTGGAGCTTCTCCTTCACAATGTTCATTACTACGAAGCTTGTAGACACACACACACACAGTCCCGCACATCCCATCTCATTTCATGTTCTCGTGTGTGTGTGTGTGTGTGTGTGTGCGTCCACTTGCTACTGGCAGCACAGCGGTGCCACGTCCTCGGCAGGTGAGGGGAACAGCCGCATGGCCTCTCTGGAGGATTTGGTGTAGCCGTTGTGGAAAATCAAGGCCTTTTTCACTGTGAAGAAGGAGACCGTCTTGTCCCACACGTCGGAGCTGGACACCCCAGTGATGAGTTGGCTCTCCACTGCTGAGCAGAGCCTCACTGCTCTGTCTGTGCACTTCCTCTCCAAAACCATCATCTTACACATGCTGAGGAGAAAAAGGGAGAAAACATCAGATTAATGCTGAATACACAGAAAAGACACCAGATTTAAATGTAGCTGTCAACAGAAATCCTCAACTGTAAGAGCAATTTAAAAGGCTTGCTTCTGCTGCTGCCCTCACACTAAGGAGGTGAATGGAGTGATGCTCCCATCATTGATTGTCAAACAGCAACTGTCTTCCCAGAATTAGTGTTCCTGTTAGTTTGGATAGTCCACAAACCCTCCATTAATTGGAAGCACTCCCCAGAAAAAAAGGTTGTTGGTGTGGTTTCTCACCAAAAATCCACCTCCATTGTCTTGGGGTTCAGGCAGAATTCTGAGTGACAGAAATCTCAAAAACTGGCAAATAAAAACAAATGAGCAAAAAACCAAACTACCAAATTATCGCTATAACCTTGAATGAGACAGAAGTTTAAAAACAAATAGTCAAATGAACTTCTACCTATGAGTTTTCACCATTTAAGCTTACCTTGTGTGCTGGTCCCTCATGGTGAGTCAGTTGGTGTCCAGTCAGTCCAGGCCTGTGTCGCAGTTATGATTTTACCCACCGCGACCTCCCTCCTTTATATACTTATACCAACTATCCCATCGATTTAATGTGATGCTGGTTCTCACAGTGTTCGGCCAATCACAAAGCAGTGTTATGACAATAGGATGTGAATGAATTAGTGGAATTCATGGGGCACAATGGGCCCAATCCAAACAAACAGGTGGGAGGGGCCCTTCGTTGAACTTGTCGCTCAGCGCCACAACAAGGGAGATATCCTCGTTATTGTATCTTCCTGAGTGATATGTGGTGGGAACATGGAGGAAAGATGTCAGCCCGAGGACGTCCTACATGGAGAAGTATGTCCATTCAACAACGTGGTGGACATGGATGTTCATCTAAAGCTTAATGGCTTTAGACCTGCACTTCCACATGTTATGTGAAAATGTAGATAAAGTTACCTTTTAAAGATCAGCAATATGTTAAATCATCACGTTGTCACAACTGAGAGTTTTATGGTATTATAGTTTCTTAGGTTACCATAACATGTTATATTTGAGTCCCTAATGTGTGTTTTTCCTGAATCCACTTTTTACAACTTTTTATCTCGTGCATCTATAATTTGTACGCCCAAACTGTGAAAACAAATTCCAGCAAACTATCCACAAGGTATCGCACCCGCCACACACACACACACACACACACACACACTGCCCATTCTCTCATTTAACTTTCTGTCTCTATTTCAGCCTCTCCAATTCTCACGGTGAGCGTCTCCCATGCTTGATTGGCTGACAATAGCGTACTATCCGTCCAGATGGTGTGCCTGGAAGCCGTGTGTGTGTGCGCGCGCGCGCGCGTGCGTGCGTGTGTATTTGGAGGGGGGTTGGTCACTCAATCTTTGTTCGATGGGGCACACTTCCTTTGTGCAGCCGGCCTCAGTGTCATTAACACTGAAGTGTGGGAAGCCTGGGACCACAGCGGCTCCCACGTTCCACACAGGCAGGAAGGGAGCGTGTGACTGAGACGTGGCCAGCGGCAGGCAGGTCAGCCAGCTGTGTGTGTGTGTGTGTGTGTGTGTGTGTGGGGGGGGGAGGGAAAGTGAATGAGAGTGTGGCTGTCTGCATGAGTACGGGGGGTTTGCCTGATGTGTGAACATGTGCTGGGAGTGTGGAGACTGTTAAGATGTTAACAGTTGAAGCAGTTTTCTTGTCTTACAGTTTAAATCATGTTCGCCTGCCGTTAAATTAAAGTGGACAGACTGAACTTCAACAGCATGACCTCCGAGTCCTTTAAAGCAGCAACATATCAAGTTTCAGCAAAATATCAAGTGTCAGTATTGATTTTTCAGTGGAATGAGAGCATCTGTAATGTCAGTAATAATGCCTTTCAACACCAGAAAAAGTACGATAGGACAAAGTTGAACCAGGAAGTCGGTCTATAAACTGTGATGGATGTTCACATTTGACAGTTTGAATAACTCTGATCTCTAAAGTGCATCTTGCCCTCTCCAAACCACTGAGAAGAGAACAGACAAAACAAAAAATGCAGGAACTTATCATATAAAAAGAAAAAATATTGTCCGATTAAAACTGTGTGGGCCAAACACACACTCTCTTTTCTTCATCCAGTAGATTTTTATTTGAGTCTCAAAACTCACTGAGAAGCTCTTCTTCTATTCATCTTTAAGACGTCTCAACTGTTGCACGGATCCACGAGCAAAGTCTGCCGTGTGTCAAACTGGTGGAAGTGGCTGCATGTTGGCCTTTTCTAATGGTTGGCCCTCTGTAACACCCACGTGTGCCCGGTGGCGGAGGCACTTTGTGCTCAATTATGTGGCGGTTGAGATGACATGAGACAGCGGCGTGCTTCCCTCTGGGGTCACCACTTTCCCATATCAACACAAGCACTGGGTCAGTCTCCCAGCTACATCCCCCCCCCGCCCCCCTCCTCCCTCCCGCCCCCACCGCACTCTTTCTCTCGCAGTCTATTCCTCCACCTGCTCCCCGGAGACACACTCATTGTCCCCACGGCTATAAACACTTCATTGAGCATGTGGCAGCCCTGCGTCCCTCAAAGCCCTTCCCAGCGCTCCCATTGGCCGGGGGACTGTGAGAAACTCCAACAAGCCCAAGACCCACACATTCATATGGAGATTTGGGTGTATAAATACAGGGCAGAGGCAGAGGAGAAGGCAGCTCACATTCAACTGGCTGTTCGAACCGAGCAGGAACGCTCTTGACTCTACAGCTATGGCACCCACTGTTTTTGGACAAGCAAGCTATCCTAAGGAGCACCTGGCTCCTGCTCATAAGGTAAATTGGATTTCTATAAAGTCACATAACTCCCTTGTTAAATAGTGTTCATATGGTATGAAAGAGCGTGAATTTGTATTCTAAATTCTATTTCTTTTTGTTTTCTTCAGCTGAGAAAGCCACTGGTGGAGAAACTGCGCAGAGACCGCATCAACACCTGCATCGAGCAGCTGAAATCCCTGCTGGGTCCCGAGTTCATCAGGCAGCAGCCCGACTCTAAGCAAGAGAAGGCGGACATCTTGGAGATGGCCGTGTGCTATCTGAGAGGCTGGCAGCATCAGAAGCAGCAGCAGAAGGCCGGCGTGACTTCCGGCCGGATGGCGGGCGGCGACGGCTACTCTCGCTGCGTGCAGGAGGCCGTCAGCTTCCTGTCACACTGCGAGGTCCAGACTCAGGCCCACCGACGGCTGCTCAGCCACTTCCAGGGCCTGCAGGCGTCCAGCCACACTCCCTGCACCCTCTCTCCTCCTGGCTCTCCGCTCCATCAGATCAGCTCCAGCAAGGGTGTGAGCCAGGCCAGCAGTGCTCTGTGGAGGCCCTGGTAGGATGGAGGCAGCATCACCTCCTCACAGAGAGAAAGAGAACTAAGTCTGTGAACGTCATGGACAGAAAGTTGAAGACTTAATTGAAGTCGGTTTCCTTTTGCTTTGGCAGGAGAGTCAATATTGTTGAGTATTTTACTAGTGTAGCGAAAAAGGGCACAATGTGCCAGTATTCCTTTGGAAGTATTGAAATGATCAGGTTTTACTGAACATGTACACCGTGTGTATACACATTATACGCTTTACAATTTAAAGTGCTTACTCTTGTTCCTGTGGGGAGAAATACTTTTGTTTGTTTGTTTTGCAAGCATCACTGAATTGTCTTGTTGTAACACCCTCATGGGGTGGAAACTATCTAAGTGTCTGAGACACTGTTTGGTTTATGTGTTTAAACTACTGTCTATCTGTGATACTAAGTATCACTGACTGATACATTTCATCAGCTTGGTGCTGATGAATCAACAACATCCCTTAATTGGATCCCATGGATTCACTTTTACTGTAAATCTTTTTATGATTATACTTAATTATGACTATATGTAACCATTATCTGGCCTATGAGTGTTGTACCTGTTAACTGTTCAGTTGTAATGTTGATAATAGATGCTTTTTCATCTTCAAGTGAATACCTTTTATAAAGGCATGTTATGTTGACATCAATCTTTACGAAAAGATTCTGTTGAATTGCTTCCTTGAGAAGTTTGCCTTTGAACTTGAAAAATAAATTGGAAACTTCACATGAAGTTTGACAAACATAAACAATAGCAGCGTCTTTATTTTCTCATAGAACAGAGTGTTAGAGGACATTGTACATATAAAGTCATACATAAAAACTGTAGTTTGCGTTTTAGTGCTGACATCACGTCTCGAATGACTGAATGGATGATCAATGAATATGAGAGCAGGTAGAGTTTGTGTTCTAGTCAGGGTTTGGAAACAGACATATATCCAGTCACACCAGAGAGCTTATCAGCACAGCACTCAACTAACCGCAGCGCCACTATTGTGCCTTGCTCAAGGGAACAACACCATAGTAATCAAGGTTAGATACTGTAGCACTCTTTTTGGATAATATGTAAAATGTGGTACTTCGTCAGGTAATCATAGCTTACTCGAACTCTGCAGAGTCACTTTGTTTGCTGCCATTGAGGCCCCATAGGTCAGTGTATTCATATTTTAACAGTGGACGCACTTTGCCCAAATTCTTCAGTACACAAAATAATGTGTATTCTGGTCTCAAAGCAAAGGCAATATAATAATATCTACATGTACAGGCCTTGAGAGGCTCAGGAGCTGAGCAGTGATGCTGCACAAAGTATAGTCCGACTATATTAATATAGTTAATAGATGTAAATGTGTGTTTTGATGTACACTGATTTGTTTGCAGTGTGGATTTTTCATTTTTAGTACGATCTATCTGAATGACCCGATTGTCCTTCAACCAATGAGATTAAAACACCTGTATGTTCAGAAATAGAATTAATGATACCCAGGGAAAGATTTGACTTCACTAACTTTGATCTTAATCGTTGCCCCAGTGTTTCCCACAGGGATCATTCAAGTTTCATCTCATCTGACCTCTCTGGTGCACAGGTGTTCCCAAAAAATGTAAAAACTGGGGTGACACCCCGCACACATGACCCACTTCTGTTGTGGTGGTGGTGACATGCTGTCTAGTGCTTGAATTATGTCTCAAGTGCCACAAAAGTCTTTCACAACTATTTGTGTGTGCAAAAGTTGTGGAGAATGTGGCGTGCATGAGACTTTCTCAGGGTCTAGTTGTCCAGGCCAGATGGTCTGGCTGAAGCTGCCTCCCCCTTCAACAGGAGATCAAACACCGTAGCTAATGTGATGTGTAACAAGACACACTTCTATTGTTCCCATCTCGGGGCCAGTGAATAGGCACAGAGTGTGGGAAACGGGAGATATCACACTCACAGAGAGATGCCTGACGGGAAGCCGCTCTGCGCCGCCGCGGGTCTGAGCGATGGCCGAGACTTTATGGCAGGAATTCAGAGCTCTCAGGCTGCTGGTGGGAGGGGAACTCTCGTCTTCACACACACTTGTAGACAAAGACCCCCAGCAGCCGTGCAGTGCACACTAACTTTCAGAAGAGGCACATATTCACACAAACATGTGCACAATGAAATCAATGGAGGGGACAGATAATAAAGCCAAACATGGACGTGACTTGACGGTTTGGCAGTTTCTGTGCTTTCAAATGCTGCAATGGTGATAAGAGGGCTGCAGAGAGGAGTTACGACAGAGAGAGATGTTTACTTACATATACCTAAATATGAAAATGTAGAGAAAACAAGTCCTGGAAATTAAAAGCATGTGCAAGTAACTACATTTACTGAAGTGTATTTGTAATTATATTATTTGTCATTCTACTTCAGGTTAGATTGTTCATTGTCTTTTACGCACCGTTTTAAATCTGTTGACAACCTCCATTTCATTTATTTCACAGCTACAGGTTCCTAGGTAACATATTTGAATGGGCTAGTATTTCTGTTGTGGCATTTCTACTCTGACTAAATGAAAACTTTGAATGTTTCTTTCAGCATTGTCGATGGATGTCTGAAAAGCTTAAATTAAAAGAGTCAACACAGACCAAAGGCAGACAGGCTGCCCTGTGCCAGGCAGTGAGGCCAGTTGACTTGATTTTTCCCAGATGGACCGAGACACAGAGTTTCTGTTTGTCCTGCAACAAAAGATCAATTAACATTCCCAGTGGAGCATTGAGGAGCGGCATGGCTTTTGTAGCTCATTTACCCTGATGTTGGGGACTGGTGGGAAACTGGGGAGACGGGACTACTCACACTGCACCCACAAGGCCGGCTTCACATCTGGGGCCAGCCAGTGACGGAGGCCTCTCAGAGGCACACTGCCAGCCCGCTCATAATGCCATTGACTTGACTCTAATTGGACACAGTTCATTTACAACAGGGTCTGCAGACTTTTAGGGGAAGTTAGACAAGAGCGTATGATGAAAGATTGCCTACATTTTTTAGCCAAACTAAGTGACTAACGTGACAAAAAAACTACTGTAATCCAAATGTGATTTGTCTCACCACATGTAATTCAACATACAGTTACAGTGACTGAAAAATAAATCCTTACAAAACATGGAAATTGAATACATTTAATATTCATAAGTGAAAAGTTTGCTGTCAAGTTCAAATACCAAAATAACTGACAGTTCTTTTAAAAATCAATGATTGACTGATCGTTTTGCGATATGAGGGATGCACTTCTAATGTTACACACTGCCTGTGCTTGGGCCACTTGGGAGTATATTTTTGTAAAGTAATATAAAGGCGTATTTTTCATATCCATGACTTGTTACCTTTCTTCACACATCAGTCCTGTGGCAAACCCTGGCGTTTTTGACAGAAAAGTGAACTGTAACATAAGGCAACACGTAGTTGGAAAAGCAACAGGTGGAAAATGAAATGATTCACCTGCAGCCGGTTGATGTCACTCTTTAACATTGTCGACCTCCCTTCCTGCTCCTTCTTTTCTCTTGCGGTTTATCTTTGCCTGCTCAAACATTGTGTAGCCTATCTGTGGTCAACCTGTGACCAAAAAACCTGTTATTTTTCTGTTCGTCTGAAAAAAACATGTTCCTGTGTCCAAATGCTCCCGTCTACCACTAAAATGCTTTTAGGAGGAAGAGACGCTTTGTTTGCAGAGAAAATGAAGCCTTCAGCTTATATTGTTTTATTGCAGTGAAGCATTTGGTCCTTAATTGCAGTTATCCCCCTTTGAAGATACCCACTTTTGTGTACCTTACCTTCCATTATTCTACATCTAAAAAATTGAATTTAGACCTTCAGTCCATGATTAATTCTCAGATGACCGCTTGATAACATGTTAATTACCTGTTGCTTATCTTGGGAAACATGCCCCGCACAGCGACATGCTCTCTGAGTTATTGACATGTCTTCCATTGTTGTGCTGGGAGTCCCACTGGTCAGAGTGTGGGAACCCCAGCCCTGCCTGAGCCACATGGCTTTGTTATGCTAATCTCTCAGTATAAAATGAGGAGCAGCCTCTCCGGGGGCATCAGAGCTAACACTGCAGTCCATGCCAACTTCACCTGCACAGACATGGCTCCTTGCTCATCCAACTACTCCTCTTTTCACCACATCAGGATCTCTGAGAAAGACAACATCAAAGTAAGTACTGCAGAGGAGTTTAAGGGCTTTGCATCAGCTTGTATGGTCAAAATGTACACATTGTTTATTGCTGATTTCAATCATGAGCTTACCTATCTCTCTTCTCTTCCACAGTTGAGAAAACCTATTGTGGAGAAAATGCGCAGAGATCGCATCAACAGCTGCATCGAGGAACTCAAGATCATCCTGGAGAAGGAGTTCCACAAGCATGAGCCCAACTCCAAGCTGGAGAAAGCCGACATCCTGGAGATGACCGTGAGCTTCTTGAGGCAGCAGCTGCAGCCGGGCCTCTGTAAGAGCGACTACAACCAAGGCTACTCTAACTGCTGGAGGGACTCTGTGCACTTCCTGTCTGCTGGACCCAACACAGAGGCCTCTGTGACTCCTCTGCAGGGCCTCCAGCAGCAGAAGCAGCAGCTCCATCAGGCCCAGAGAGCCAGCAGCTCCTCCCCGGTCTGCTCCACCCTCAGGCCCACCACGCTGCAGGAAAGCAGCAGCAGCAGCAGCAGCAGAGGCCCTGTGTGGAGGCCTTGGTAGAGACTTTGACACACAAACACTCCGAGACCTGAGGGGACTCTCCCTCAAATACGTAGGAAATATATTTCCAGCCTGTTCATTGATGATGGGTTTCCTTATTGACTCATCACATTGATGGACAAGTAGTAAACACGAAGGCTCTCATAGTTGAAGGTTGTCTTGTTTTAATTTGATTCACATTTGATGTTTGCTTTTCCTTTGTGTTTAAAGCTGGAGGTTGATTTTAAGTGATGACGGTTTTGTCGAATCTTGTGAAATGACTGTTTACTCCAGTGGAGTTTATCTTTGGGCTGCTTGATGTAACGGTATCTGTTATACTGACAGTTGCTGTTGAGAATATTTCTCTTCTGTTTTGAATTGTCTATGCCAAATTGTATGGATGATAATTATGGTGTGTATGTTGTAAATGGATTTTCATATTAACATTTTTGTTGATATTGCTGTTTTGCTCTAACATTTAGGCTCTTAAAACGCATTTCTAACATTTGTATGACAATTAAAAATAAAAAGATACAATCAATAAAAAAACACTGATTCCAGATTTTTTAACGAAAGTATTCATATTGTTATTCGAAAAATCTAAAATAATTGCTCTTTATGGTGATAACTTTCCCTTTTTTTAAATAAATAAAATGTTCATACCATTCTTGCTAATTTTCATGATTAACTTCTACATAAAACTGTCCTAAGCTTGTCTTAATTTTGGAAAAGGTCATGTGATGTTTGGTCAGGAAGCAACAGATATCACAAATGTTTTTAAACATACATAATACTCAAGTTAAAAGTCTTGCTTAGACTACTAGTATAGAACATTTCCTCATATCCTTTCATAGGACACATGACAGCATTTCTTCGAATTGCAAATCCAGAACTCATTCCAAGAATAAAGAAAACATGTACACAGATTAACACACAAGCAAAGTGTTGAATGGCATATAAAATAATATCTTTGACTAAAAGCTGAGAACGCATCAGTTGGAATTTATAGATTTACATATGGCAATGTGGTTTTTTTCCATTGACTAAAGAACTGGCACTTCTTGTAAAAAGCATCACAAATTAATAATTCAAATCAAAAGTAAAATTATTTTAAAAAGCAACCAGCCATAAGAAAACACACAATTACACACATAAAACACTAAATCATATTTTTTTCAAAAGCAAAGCCTACATACTATATTCACAATTAATAGATCTACACAAAATGTAAAAAAATAAAAACGTATTTGATCAAAATCAAAATTTAAAGTTTAGTTAGGTACGGTATTTTAGAAACATTTGTTGTTATATTTGTTGAAATTCTCTTTAACGGCTGTGAGTACTAACAATAGCCATGTTCTTGTTTACGTTCACAATGATTTTGGGGGAGTGGATTGGAGGGGGGCGGTGGGGGTGGGGGGGGGGGGGGGGGGGCTGAAGGGGAGTCAGTGTTGTAGACTTGGAGACTTTCTTGCTAGATTGAGCAACTTTTGGAGCTAGTGCTGCTAGCTACTTTCATTGGAAAAGAGTTGGCAACGCAGGGCTTGGTTTTTAAATTGGATACTCATAATCTAGTTTACTCTTGCTGGTTTCTCCAATTCTTATTCTACTTACTGAAATGTCAAGTTTGGGTTAAAACTAACATGCGTTTCACGATTATCCTATTGCCAACAACACTGCATTACAAAATAATACACATCATACACAAACGACCTGCATTTAGTCAAACACATTCTTCCTTTATTAAAGGCAAATAAGTCACAACAGACAAGTTCAGTAAACCACTCTTATAATGTGACATACATTTTAAACTTCACAACAAGTTAATGAACATTATTTTCAGTTACATAAAGCAACAGTAATAATAACCTCACTGTGAGGCATGAGGATGCTGTGATATTGTCTCACTAACAGAAGGTGTTGCTCATGTGTTGTGAATGATCTCCAGTGTGAATTTGGGATGAGGAGGATAGAATCCCTCTTACGTATCTTTCGTCAACATGATGAAACACTAAAAACATTGAGTAACACCACGAGTGAACAGGCTGGAAATGTGTTTTCCTACATACTGAGGGAGAGTCCCCTCAGGTCTGAGTGTGACGCTGCGTTCCACATTGCATACTTTTTATTTTTACTTTTAGTACACACTGCAGCTGTCCTTACAAAGTACGTACGGTTGCATACATTCAATTGGGACACGCTGCTTCGTCATAATGTTACACGTTTGACCCTCTTGCTCGTTCACTCCGCAGAGGGTTCTGGTTCAGAATAGCCAGAAGAGCATGCTGGATGAATACTGCAAAATGTGAATGGACTAGTAAGTGCAAATACACCAAGTAAGACATCTTGGTGTATTTGGCATACTGCATTAGACGTTCAGTATAGGTATTGGAATGCACAGGGAGTCTCTACCAAGGCCTCCACACGGTGCCTCTGCTGCTGTCCTGCAGCGTGGTGGGCCTGAGGGTGGAGCAGACCGGGGAGGAGCTGCTGACTCTCTGGGCCTGATGGAGCTGCTGCTTCTGCTGCTGGAGGCCCTGCAGAGGAGTCACAGAGTAACCTCGGTTGTAGTCGCTCTTACAGAGGCCCGACTGCAGCTGCTGACTCAGGAAGTTCACGGTCATCTCCAGGATGTCGGCTTTCTCCAGCTTGGAGTTGGGCTCCTGCTTGTGGAACTCCTTCTCCAGGATGATCTTGAGTTGCTTGATGCAGCTGTTGATGCGATCTCTGCGTACTTTCTCCACAAAAGGTTTTCTTAACTGTGGAAGAGGAGACAGGTGGGTTTGGCTCATGATTCAAATCAGCAATAACCAATCAGACATTTGTACTGCACAAGCTGATGCAAAGCCCTTAAAATCCAGTACTCACTTTGATGTGGTCTTTCTCAGAGATCCTATTGAGGTGAATAGAGGAGCAGTTGGAGGAGCAGGGAGCCATGTCCGTGCAGGTGAATTAAGCAGCTTCTTCAGGCTGAAACTGAACGCGTTGACCTCTCCAGGAGGAGCCACTCTTCATTTTATAGTGAGTTATTAGCATAACAAAGCCATGGAGGGCTGGGATTTGTAACAATGGGACACACATCAATAACTTGGAGGTGAAGCAATCACAGGCTGAACAGTAGAGATAAAACCATTCCCAAGATGTATATCAGACTGAGAATGATGTGCTGTCAGTCTCTGATCAGGAGCTGTTGCTTATCTCACGCTCCAGTCACACAGGGGAACACAGGCAGCATCTCCTCATGTGCTCCCAGGGAATAATTAAACAGGATTTAATTATAGTGGCATCCAGGGAAAAGGTATTGAAAGTAGGCATGTTATAATTGATTGGATTGCTAGTGTGAAACGAAGACATTTCTTCAATTTATTCCACTCATTTTGATATTTAGAATTTTTCATTTTGTCGCGTTAACTCCATTGCAATAAGTCTAAAAAAACTCATCTTTATATATCTCCTAAATTTCAGTCTACATGAGGCAATTTTACACAAACTAATAATGATGTGAGGACTTTAATGATAAATGCAATATTACTGAATCAAACAACAAATTCTGCACCTGCAGATTCACTGTAACGGCATCTAGCATGTTGTCTTGTAGGCTGTGATTTGTTGCTCACAGTGTTTGTTTGTATCCTGGGACATCTTTGGTGTCCTGTTGTAGTCTTAAGGTAGACAATTCTGATCACTGTATCGCTCAGATGAACATACCGAAAGTCTAAAAGATGGTTCAAGCTTTTGATGTCCAGATGAAAAACATGTTTTGAATATTGTGTGATGATGACTATTCATTTTTCCAAAATGAAATGGATCGAGAAGCTTGTCAAATGAATTCCTGAGATCTTCCCCACAGGACATTGCTTTGGTCCTTAGTGTGCTGACAATAAAACTCCTGCTTGCTCACCCATGGCACACTTCTATTGTTGACCGAGGGTATTAAGCCGTGAGTGGACAGAGAGACTGTGGGAAAACCAAGCTTGGACTCTACTCACACATCTACTGGTCAATAGCCCTGACCTCCCAGCCACAAAAGGCCTTTTCATCTCTCCTCTCAAACAACAGCCAGCAGCAGCACTGTGTGTGTGTGTGTGTGTGTGTGTGTGTGTGTGCTTGTATGTGTGTGTGTGTGTTTGTGTGGTTGCACATGCACGCAGACCAATTGTGCATTTATTTGATATGCAGTGAGAGTTTACGTCATACAATGCTGTTGTCAGGGATCTGTGACCAGCTGCCACTTGTTGTCAGATCCCTGGAAATATGATCGTGTCGCTTGCTTTGTCGACCTAAACCGTCATTTTTAAACTATAAAAGCATCACATGTCTTAAACAAATAAAAGAAATCTCAAAACAACAGAAAGACGGTCTTTTCACCAATACATACACTTGTTGATCAAGATTTGATTTTATAGATACCTGTGAGGTTTTTGACCAATACTTTGGTTTCAAATATTCTAGAAACCAGTAAGACTTCCTCAGAAATTTTCTTCATTTTTCTTTTTCCAGTAAAAAAATAAAATTACATTTCAAAAATCAGTGTTAGCGTGACAGTCTCTAGTACAGCCACCAGGGGCGCTGTTTATCCCCTCCAACATACACACATCCATGTACAGTATTTAGTGTCATTTCTTATAATTATGATTAATTAGTGGTGGTGGCTGACTGCATGCTGATTAAGATTCAAATTAAGCTGTCAATTAGTGTTTGGTTTATGAATCAATGCAAGGAAATCAGAATTGTTCCTATACTACCATACTACTTTGTATGCCAGAAAAATATGTAATATACCAATACATAGTATGTCAAATGCAGTATGCCAAAAGTACCAGGATGTCCTACTGCATCTGGTCGCATTTTGACGTATGCAAGCCAGCATGCTTTTCTGGCTATTTTGACCCACAATCCTCAGTGCAGCCAGATATATGTGCAAGAGGGTCAAAGGTGCAGTGTCATGAGGAATTAGGACGTCCTAATTGAATGCATACTGCATGCAACGGTGGGTTGTAAGGGCAGCTGCAGTATGTCCTAAAAGTTTTTTAAAAGCATGCGATTTGGAACGCAGCTTACGTTTAGTTTTGACACAGCAGTCATTTTGACATGTAATGGTAGGAAAAAGTGAAAACAATAAAGTTAATGATGGCTGAATTCCATTTTGTTGCCTCAGTGTTCGGGTCCTGTGATTATACACTAGTATCCCGGTTTTGAGACTGATCCTGGTTACATTCAACGTGAGAAACCATAACAGTATCCAGGTTTCTAATGATCTCTGTGCAGTTTTACTCTTGATTTCGCAGCACCTCAGCCACTATAGACCAACTAAGAATGTTCAGGGACCTGGCGAGGTGTTTACATGATGCCACAGTATCTGGTTTCTGGCTAGCGTATCTTTCTTAAACCAGGAGTGTTCAAAGCCTCTGAGACTACAGTGCTTATCTGTTTCCATTCGGTTGTGCATGGGTTTACATGCACAACCCATCACTGTCACACTGTCATGGCGTACTGGTACTGCTGAACAATGACTGGAGCTATAATAAGTAATCAAATTACAAATTTATTATGATTAAACAAGTCATGGATGTCCAAAGATACATAGACATTTTCATCAGTTTTCATCAATAATTTGCATGAATAGCTCCAAGATAAGTTAAATTTGATTTTTTTAAATGTATACAAACACAAAGATAAAGTTTATTACTGTATTTTCTTCTCCCCTACACAGACCAATCAAGTACAATTTGTACACGTACAATTCATGTTTTAAACTCAGTTGTTAAATAGATTTAAAAGAAACACTCAACCTGTGTTGTTCCAGTTATTTTACCTGGTATTCCTGCATCATACAATTCATCTATTTTTCATCAACTGAAATAAATACAATCCTCATTGTTTGTTCATGGTATACATTTGAATACAGTTCTGGAAATGGGCAGTAGTGTTCATTTGCGGCCTCAGGGCAATAATATAAATTTTGGGCAGGAAGTAGCCCCCGAGGAAGGCCACGACACTGAGGAGTATGGCGAACACGTGCGCGGCCATAGTGAACGGGCCTCTGCTGATGAGGTAGAAAGTGAAGAAGCTCATCCAGGAGATCATGTACAGCATAAGGCTAAAGGTCACACACTTGGCCTCGTTGTAGTTGGCTGGCAGGTCTTTGCCCATGTAGCTGAAGGAGAAGCAGAGGACACTGAGCAGCGATACGTAGACGAGCTCAAGGCCTGCAACAAGTGAGAGGGTGTTACTGCACTCAAACACAATGCTGTCCTTGTAAAATTCAAGATCCTGAGAGGGCTGGGGAGTGTTGACGGCCACACGGATTACAGAAATGAACAAGGCGGTGGCGGACACTAGGAAAATGGTAAACTCTGCTCCGTGGTTTTTGGCCCACTTGTCATAGGCTGGCGGCAGTTTGGATGCAAATTTAAAAATGCAGATGACCTGGAGGGAGCGGACAGTGATGCAGGCCAGACACACAGTGAAGCTGAAGATGAATAGAAGTTGCTTGAGGATACAGGCCAGAGGAGACGGCTGGCCAAAATGGCACAAAGAGCTCATTGCAGCAGCAGTCAGGGCTGCCAGCATCAGGAGGCAGGTGCGGCCTCCGGCAGACTTGGCCACAGGCGTGTCCAGGTTGAGCAGGAGGATTATTGCGGAGGTGGAGGTCATGAGAAGACAGGTGGCCAGAAAGAAGAGCAGGGCGATGGAGAGGGGGGCGTCCCAGGCGAGCAGCAGGACAGTCCTTTTCAGACACTGCTCGCTGCCAGGGGGAGCCCACTCCTCCGGCAGACACGGCTCGCATGTAGTGGATTCTGAGGAAGAGCGACAGCATAGATGTAAAAGCTGGGCTGTTGTTGTTTTTTTGCCCAATGTGACAAGAATTCAAATTAAAAAATGGGTTAGTCATCAAGAGAGAATGTTATGGTCTAGAGCAGAAAGGGTTTTTAGGCCTTTGCTAGGCAAAGGGAGTTGGCATCCCTATAGGGCTGTCAGGAGGACATAGTATGAGTAGGAAGCACCACCTGCTGGACAACCTCACGCACAACAGCTGAAAAATACTGGTGTGTTGGAGTAATGGTCATTTTTGTAGATCAATAGGGAATAATCATAAAGAAGAAAATTGCCTTTTATTAAGTCTTTACAGTCACCAGATAAAGTCGTTTCCTGTCTCCAGTGTGATCTTTGTCTTGACTGGTGCAGTGGGACATCCGTCTGCTCTTTCATGCTCTCAGTGCACTTAAATTACTTTTTTGGATATCTTTCTGTTTTGTTTAATTTGCTTTCCCATTGTACAACAACCTCCATCACATGCTTCACACATTCACTCCACTGATGATGCTTGATTGGGTTGTACAATGAATTACTAAATTCTGCATAATATTCTTAATCTGTACAAATGAATTTGTCACTTTGTCAGTTTTTTTCTTCGTCTGAATATTTTTCTAGTGCATTGACTTTTTTTCCGTGTGTCTTTATGTTACCACTTATATTGAGAAAAGTAGCAGAGGGGCAGGTCTGGCAGTCGAAGCAGCATGCGTGTTGCCCTGTCAGCAGCTTCTTGTGGCCTCTCGGGCAAGGTGGAGAGCAGATGGACAGCGGTACCTAGACGGAACCAACAGGGTTCAACAAAGATAATATTTAATTTTGATTCACTCGGAGTCAACATTTTAAGTTTGAATGTCTGATTATTATTAATGTTTCCTTTCAAAATATATTAAGCAGGCAGCTGACAAACACTTTATCCTAGGTTGTTTTTTTATTATGTTTTGCATATTTCTCACCGATAGTTGCACCATTTTTGCACTGAATTATATAAGAAATTGAAGAGTTTTTAAGATTTACACACAAACACTTTACTCAAAGATTCTGCAATAGGTCGTACTGTTCTCGAGTCTCCCGCGTTGTGCCACTCAATTTGATCAGCGTTAACTGTGAGCGTAATGGGATCTGGGCTGAAGGAGCCCACCTCTCTGATTGACCAGTCAGTTCCCCTCCAAACCCAGAAAATGATGTCATATCCTGTTGGCGGGTCACCATTTATGTCAAAGTACACAGAAGTGTTCTCCAGAGAGAATTTCACCTCCTTAAGCCACCAGAGCAGCTAAGGTGGAGAGGAAGAAGGAAACATCAGTTCCAAACAAACAAAGTGGTTCTGAGAGATTTTATTCTTTGCAAAAAAACACAAATTGACATCTGCTCACCTCCCACGGATACACCGTCTTCCTTTGGCACTCTCCAGAATCACAACCAAGTGCTCGGTGCAGAGCATGAGTCACAGCATACACTCCCTTATACACATTGAAGGAGGAGGTGATGTCATATGTCTCCAGAGAAAACTTCTTCCTGGCGAGGCTGTACAGGTCTGCGCTCAGACAGTCATTGCCTGGGCTCATGGTAACATTAGAGACTTCCTGGGTGTCAGTGTGTTCCATTGAAGCCTCAACTACCTTTCTCTCAAACTCCTCAAAACCAGATAAGGTTGTATATTTGATGGAGACGCCGAGCACAGTGCCGATGGTGTGGATCCCAGGTATCCCTGAAATGAGACTAGACACTGACCAGTCCTCTGTTCCAATCCACACCTTACCTGTCACGTTCTGCTCAATGACAAACGGGAAGAAGTCCTTGACTTTCGACTTGCTGGAGAAGACCACGATGGTGTTGACTTTGGTCTTCTGTATGCTTTCCACTATGTTCCTCATGGTCTGGATTGTGTCATCTCCGTACGCGGGGATGACTCCTTGGTAGGCGATGCAGATGCCGTGGTGTGGTGCTCGCTCGGACAGGCTTTGCATGCCCGCCAGGCCATAGGCGTTGTCACTGCCTAAGAGAGCGACCCAGGTCCAGTTGAAACGTTTCAGAAGATGGATCATAGCTGTCACCTGGTTCTTGTCACTTGGAATTGTGCGGAAAAAGGCTGGATAGAGGTGCTTGTTGCTCAGCATTTCATTCGATGCTTCATAAGAGATCTAAAAGAAAGGAAGAGCCTATAACAAATGATTCTGCATTGTTTGGATGCCTTTTCATGTCATGTGGAGTATGCAATAATTCAAGAGGCCATGATTGAAACCTTCCAGGTGATAACTTACTTGTGGTACAAGATAGGCCCCCAGTAAAGCAGCGGGGGTGAAAGTTTTGCTGCTGCTGTCTGGCCCAATCACAGCCACGGCCTTTTCCCTGTTGTAGTTTGTGTCTCCCCCTGTCTCAGATGTAGATGGGCTCTGAGCCTGCTGCTCCAGCAGGTCCAGTGTGGCCAGGATACCGGCAGCTACTGAGCAGGTGTCGTACATCTGGTAGCCCAGCTTCACCCCTGGTAAAAGAGGCTGCGGTCCGGTGCCGTTGTTGATTTGTTCCACAGCAAATCTCATGGCTTGCAAAAGGTGAAATCCGTGTTTGTTGGGAGTACCTCTACAAGGGGTAACATGACAACGGGGAAATTAATTAAGACATGTCAAGATAGCAACATTTTGGATGACTTTATAGCCAGACTAGCAGTGAAACTCACACATTGCACGGACGCAAAGAAGGGAAAGCAGCACTTGGTTCATCTGCGTAATGGAGAGGAAAGAGTCCAGCGATTAAGAAGTCGCCTTGGAGCTGCATCCCCTGTCCCTGAGAGATGTAATCCAGTTTCCCATCAGCCGACTGTAGCATCAGCCAGCCTAAGGAAAGAAGCACAGCACCATACAGATCCATACTTCACCTCCACCTCACACACACTGCTGCTGCGGAAGCTCTTTGCAGAATGGATCAGGGCCTGTTTATTAATTGATTGATAGGGGGAGGGATGATCACATTTGCATCTTTCTGGGGAGTGTTAGTGTTGAGTCAAGAGTATTTGCATGTCAGATTTGTTTGAGTTTCCCTCCCATTAAAAGGAAACGCATACATGTAATAAGCCACATGTAATTCTATTAATCTTTGACAAGTGACATACAAATGTAAACCAGAGCAAACACGGACACAGTTTTTGGCTCAGTGCAGAACTATTAATCATTTCAAGTTGATTTTTCTTTTGTCTTCTGGAAACTTTCCTTCACATGATGAACCTCAGAAGGGTCGATATTAATTAATTATCTGGTCCCTATTAGGTATTAGTCACATGCAGTGGCTTATCTAAAAGCCTGTTATTGCCTTAAAGCTATATGGTTTGAATGTTTAGATGCCATTGCCGTAAATCTGAATGCACCTGTCGTACTGTAGCAACGTAACTGTTATGATTCCATTTGTTAGAGCACTCTTTCCAAAAGACTGGGCCGCGAACCATAGGTGGATTGTTGGAGATTTTAAAAGGGTCCAAACTTTTCTTTCAACTTCTTTCTTAGTCTTTTATCATTTATATCTGCAGTACACATGATGGAGCCTAAATGTTTGTATTGTTCTGATAACAGTATGTAACTTATAACAGCTAACTACTGGCCTTCTCCCAATAAAAGAAGACACATTCATTGGATGCAGCTTACATTACCTACATTAACAGTTTTTGTACCTTTTACTTAAAATGATCAATTGAGACACTGCTCAGCTTTTCTTCTTTATTCCTGAAGTTAGAAATGCAAATGGAAAACAAGCTCTTTTTTAAAGTCTCACTCTGATTGAATCTTTGACATTATTGGGTATGTGTAATAATACATTGATCTCCTATTTAGAGACTAATTATACATGTTTTAAGTGACATTAGTGACCATCGGTCCTTCACTTGTGGCAATTTAACGGTTGTTTTTATTTACCAGTTACAATTTTAGTATTTTGTTGCAATGTTGGACAAAAGATAAAAAAGGACATTTTAATTTCCACAAGAATTTTACCTGGTTAAATACATTTTTAACAGGTGTTTTTTTTAGGTTTTCCACTTTAAAATGATGAGTTAACATTGCAAAGACATTTTATCCATCCATTATCTTTATCTGCTTATCCAGTTCAAGGTCGCAGGGGGGCTGGAGCTGATCACAGCTGACATTGGGCGAAGGCGGGGTACACCCTGGACAGGTCGCCAGACTATCTCAGGACTGATACAGGCAGACGGCCATTCACGTTCACGTCCCAACAATTTAGAGTCTTCATTTAATCTAAGCTGCAGCTCTTTAGACTGTGAACCCGGAGAGAACCCCGGCCCCTCTTGTTGTGAAAAAGGTTTGTTGTTGATGCCGGCAAGGCTTACATGGGAAACTAAAGCAGAGCCTTCATTGATTTATGTTATTAGTACCTGTATTTTAGTTTTTTAGATTTTTAGTTCAAATGTCATGAGAAAGGTTTGTGCAGGTGCAGCTGAATTTGCATTTTGGTTGACATTTGAGGATCATTTTGTTAAACACCTGTTGTACTAACTAATTTGCCTGATGATTACCTGTGTGCAGGTCCCAAACCCATTGTTTTGACAGGAATATTGTGCATTTTGTCAACCACAGTATTATGGAGGCAAATGGACATATCAAATGTCCATGTCTGTACAAACAAAAAGATTTGAGTGCAACTATTTACACTGTGTAAGCTTTCCAATTTTCAACAAAAAAAGTATTTAGTAATAGCTTTTATGAACTCTTATGATTTTTATTTAAACATCCATGTCCGGCAGCTGCTTTAATTATATTCTTCAGAAAGCTTTCACAAAACATAGATTTCAGATTAACTATTGTACATATCTCTCCTATGAGTGCTAGAGAAATAACTGAAATAGTAAATTCTTAACACGTAACAAGGATTGGTTTAAGAGCAAATATAACAATAATCTAATATTAACATAGTTTAATCATAGTTTATTCAATTAAAATCTACATAGAAGACCCATTAATACAAAATAATAGCTTCAGATAATTATTCATCACATGTGATGATAAAGTCTTGACAGAGTCTTTGGCACTTGGACTCTAAAGGGAGATTTGTGATCGAGGGGCGTCTGCCCTGAGCAGCAGCAACATAAATCCCCCCGTGGGGTTCAGACACTGGCGGTGATGGTGATGGCTGATGAAGCTGATAGAATGATGAGTTGATGAAGATGATGATCTGTGAAGATTGGGTGGAGATGGGGAGGTAGAGATGGAGGTTAACAGCAATTGTTTACAGTGTACTTTGCAACCTTTTGGCAATTTCATGAGGATCATTTTAAAATGAAAGACCTTATGCTTGTTTTGATGTTTTTTCTCCTTTTGTGTGGACACATTATTACAACTTACATAATGTGTTACAAATTATCAAATAAAGAAAGGACAATAAATAAAAGTTGCAATTGTAACTTTTCATAATACAGTAATGTATTGTTATTATTGTTTTGGTTGATCTGAAAGAGAGCCTATGTTTAGTTAAATTAAATCATAATCTAATCTAAAAAAAGAGATGAATATTAAGGGAGACTTATTGTAATATTATGACCATCATGCTCTCGCTGTGTAAAATTTGGCCATTAAGAAAATTAGATTTACAATAAAACACAAAGACTGTGTTGAATAGTTCAAGGGGCAATATACCGGATTTAGAGCATCAATAAAGCAGCAAACAACTATTTACTATGTAAGGATATAGTGGAGGAATGTCTACCTGAGCAGAACATGAAGTCGCTTTCCCTCTGTGTGTGTTGTTATCAGAGTTTCTCCTTGCTTTGTTGATATAGGCGGGCTTTAGGTGTAAGTCCGTGCATGTGCATGTGCCCCACTAAACTGCTCCCGATCTCGTATATAGCACCTTTTAAAATGTCTTTACCCACAATTGTAACAGAATTCTCAGTTTTATTGAAATCATTGCTGCATATATGTCCAAATCTTATTCCAATCATAAAAGTTGAGACCTGATTCTGGATCAGTGTTACACAATGTGCATTTTTTGTCAACATAAACAATAGCCTCATAATCCAGGGACAACATCTCATACTACATACTCTGGTAGGTGGCGGTATGCGCTTTATAACAGCTACAACCATGTTATTCACAATGAATGATGCATTTAGGCAATCATTAAAATGTTCAAATTTGAATCTTCTTGACTAAACAGATACCACATGAGACATAAAACATTTACACAGACAACACAAACATTATATGTAACAAATTAAACTACATTCAGCTAATTGAAACCACAACATGAATAAATCACAAATAAATAAATACAAAAGAATATTGTTAGTTATCAAGACATTCTATTGGTCAGATACTTTTCTAGTAATATCTAGAGATGTATAAAGATCACATTTGGATTTCATTAATTTGAGGGGCTCAACATAAAGATGAGTTTCGTTATAGTATCACGTGAAGATGGGTTGTGTAGGCTCAGTATTCATTTTACCACAGTGTTAACAGGTATAAGCTTTCATGACCCTCTGTGCATGTTCATGAATAGAAATCAGCACATATTTGTAGATATTGATGAAGAGAAGAGTCCAGAGGCCTTTGAAAAGAGTTCAATGTTCTGTATGGCAACAAGAATCTGATGTTCATCCTTGCTTTTCCAAGTTCTCACAGTTCTTTATGATAATAGCCAACATTTCTGCAGCCACGATAAATAGACCGTGAGGCAATGAACCTAATGATCTGTCATGTATGTGGGTTATTATGTAGCCTTATATGAGGGGTTGAATTGTATTCCTGAGTACAGACAGCATGGTTCTTTATTACATCTATGGGTACAATGGCTGATGCCGGGCTCTGCCTGCGTCACTACTGTGCGACGCACATGTCGAGGTGAAAGTGCGAGCTGCCATTTTTTCGAAGGAATCTTCCTGATTATACAGGCAAAGACAAACTGTGAGTCTCACCACAACCCTTTAGCAGTTTTGTTTAATCTGTTGGCGGACTGAAGACATACTCTGCACGAATATTACAGACGCTCGATTGTTTTTAATCCGGGTCCAAGCGCAGGCTTAGCTCTGGGCTGCACTGGGCTGCAGATGGCTGGTTAGCTCGGCTAGCTAACGTTAGCTGTGTCTGTAAACAAACACTACAGACAGTGAGGAAACAGCAGCTGATAAACGAGCGCACACATGCCAGGGTTGTTCGGTAGATGTGGTCGATCATTCAGTTAGAGAAAGAGCCAACATAACTTTGGAAACATAACGTTGGGGGGGGGGGGGGGCCAGGAGCCAGGAGCCAGGAGGCAGTTTGACGCTGCAAGTCTGCAGGTTTGCGCCACAACTTCAGTTTTGATGACACTGCGAGTTTCTCCAAACTAGGTAGGAGCTCATTCGCTTTAGAGCGGGTCGGGTTCAGTCGGTTCTCGGGGTAAACACACACCGTACACCGACATGTCGTCCTTCTCCGAGTCGGCTCTGGAGAAGAAGCTGACGGAGCTAAGCAGCTCGCAGCAGAGCGTCCAGACTCTGTCTCTGTGGATCATTCACCACCGCAAGCACTCGGGCCTCATCGTCAAAGTGTGGCACAGAGAGCTGAAAAAAGGTGAGAGCTGCTAGTTCTGACTGTTCCTGCAGAGTGCAATGATATATGTGGTTGATTATGTGCAACATAACACGATATTAGAAACGTGAAACTTGAGAGATTTAGGTTACGGTGTCAATGTGGAACATAGGATAGCTGTTAGAAAGTGTAATAAACAGTGGTGGAAGAAATATTAATATCCTTGAACGTTACTTTAGTTGAAGTACTAACACCACACTGTGGACATACTCCACTACGACTAAAAGTCCTGCATACAAAACCTTAATTGAGTAATTCAGTGAATACTGGCAGCAATATTTGATCAAAGAATCAAAAGTGAAATGATTGATTCTGCAGTAAAAAGGTCAGTGTCAGTGTTTTACTTAATGTTTGGGTTGATATTACCGCTGCAATAATGTGTTGCATTTTAATGCAGTAAGTTGTTTATGTTTGTGATAATGTTTACTACTTGATATACTGTTGTAGTTTAATCTGCAGCTTCACATTCTATAAAATCATCATATTATGTTTGTAGCGTTGATGTTTTGTGAGAACCGCAGGTCTCGAAAACATTTCATGAACTCAGAAAAACAGCTGTTTTCAGCTTTGTTTTGATGCATTTTCCAGCTGATCTAAGAGGGTTTTACATTGTTTATTCAGTTCAAAAAGTAGGTCCATTTTCTCAACCCATTATACAACACTTCATCTGAAATATTGCCATTTAAAATACACAAATATAGGGATACATGGTTTTCACAGAGCTGGAAAGGTATAAAAAACATCTGAGAAGTAACTAAAGCTGTCCGACAAATGTAGTAGAGTAAAAAGTCCAACATTTAAAAAGGTTAAACTTGATTAAAATCATCACATACATATATTTGCCTCTGAAATGTAGTGTAATATCTGAACATGTTTGGTAATACTGTACCTACACGGTTATTGTATTTTTAAATAGTACTTATAAAAGGATATTCTTTAGTACTAACACTACTAAAGGAAAAAGGAGCATAAATAACAACACATTACAGTAATGTTGACATGCCGTTGGTGTTTATTGATGATATATTCTGTTCAAATGGCTGAACACATCTGAGGAGTTGAACCGAGCTGGATCAGGATGTAGAATACACAGGAAGGCGGCGGTTGTCGTCATTTAACAAAGAGGTTGGAGGTTCAATCCCCGGCTCCTACTGTCTACATCTTAAAGTGTCCTTGAGCAAGACACTCAACCTCAAGTTGCTCCCGACTCACAGCAGCACACTGCTCGTAATGCTTAGGATGGGTTAAATGCAGAGGTCACATTTCATATATGTACGTGTGTGTGTGTGTGTGTGTATTATCATTGTATTAAAGCTTAAGTTTTAGAAAACATGTTACTAAATGGGCATTACTTCCTCTCAAAGAACACGTTATTCCACTATGACTACAGTTACAAGACATACTGGAAAATCAGTTGACAGTCGGGTTTTTTTTTTCTTTCTGTCATTTAAGTTGATATTTATTTGGATTGGTTATACATCATGTAAAGGAAACAAAACACATCACAATGTGATACTAAATGCTGTATCCCTTATATTTTATAAAGGATATTTAATAGAACAATAGGCTGATATATTTCCGACCTGGTAAACTTTTCCTTTGTTATCATTTGAACTAGCTATCACCAATTCAAAGGAAGCATTATCTGTCCTCAGCTTATTCCAATCCCTAAATTCTGGTCAAGTCTGAGTCTTCCAGTGGCGAAGCCTAGATTCGCTTAATCAAATTCTGCTTTAGATATTCCTGGTGGTAGCTCTGATTTATCCCCGTGTACACACATTGGGGGAGATTCTGGTAAAGGCTTTCTAAGCCATTTACACGAGTCTCAAATTAACTCTTTCTAGAAAGGAAAAAACAAAGAACATTCTCACAATGAGAGTAAGAAGGTACCCGCCTCTCTATGTTACATTTCCAACACAAGTTGTACTTTATGAAGCCTTACTGGTGTAGAATAGTATCTGTGAATGATCTTACAATGTGTAGATGTGCCTCGGGCCTCCCTAATGGACAGTCGTGTAACGGACTGAGTGAGCAGCTTACTACGTGCTACTACTTAACCGGAGGTACTTCCAAAAATCCCCTTTCTCTCCTAGTCCAAGATATTCACTAAAATGTTCCCTACTCGCCTGAAATGACAAAAACAACTTATCCTCATACAGTTCACATTTCCCTCTTGCCAGGACTTCCACAAACAAGGTTTCTTTCCTATTTTAATACACTGATTCTTCCACATAGTAGGGCTGCCCCCTTCTATTTGATGAGTCGACCAATTGGTACTTTTGGTCTCAGTCTACTAAGATAGGGGCTGAATTGGACAGGTTATGCTGAAGACAACTAGGTGTAATCATCATTTCATTTAATTGCAAACCAACTTAGAGTGCATTGTCCATCACAGATCGATGCTCTAGTGTAAATGTGAACTCTTCTTGTTCAATGTTTAAGACATCATGATTTTATGTGACCTCCAGCTAAAAGCTCCAGGAAGCTGACGTTCCTGTATCTGGCCAACGATGTCATCCAGAACAGCAAGAAGAAAGGACCCGAGTTCACCAAAGACTTTGAGACTGTCCTTGTCGATGCCTGCTCCCATGTTGCCAGGTAGATGTGATGTGACCGCCGTGTGCTTTCAGATGACCTGTGTATGTAATGCGTGTCTTTGTGAGCAGGCCAACGTGTGTGCAGCTAGTGGTGCTAACTGCCAGAGGCTTTTTAAGGAAGTGATTGAGTGTATCTAAATGTGGTGCAACTCAGCAACCTGCTGCTACAGCTGAACGTTGTTGTTTTCTTCTTTTTGTTTCCACTAATGGGGTTTCCGGTGTCTCTCAAACTAACATAGAGCTTCTATCCAGCTGTAAAATAGTCTAAGGGTAAATATAGGCTAACATTTTGATCTGATAATACAATTGTCCAAACATTATTTTGCGATGCACAAGTTGTCTTTTTGCTATGTTTTAACCCTAACCCTATGTTTTGAGCTGTAACAAACAACAACCTTTCACTCAATCCTCTCGTCTTCTTCTTCGCCGTCTTCTTTCCTCTGCTGTCCCGTCTCCCTGCAGGGAAGCAGATGACGGCAGTAAAAAGCACATGGAGAGACTGCTGAACATCTGGAAAGAGAGAGCCCTCTACAGAGGAGACTTCATTCAGCAGCTCAAACTGGCCATAGAAGACTCCAACAGCCCCAGGCCTTCAGGTTAGATGACTCTAAGGCTACATCCACACAAATACGTTTCTCTTTTAAAACACGGCTTTTGAAATGAAAACAACTTACATCCACACGTTTCAGCATCGTTTAGAAATGACTTTCCGTCCATACTAACACGCCTGAAAACGAATATCACATGAGTATTCTCGTACACGGGGCATTCGGGTGCCGGTGTAAACAGGAAGTAAATTAGTTGCTTAGTTATGGAAAATGCAACTAGTTACGACGAGTATTATAGTAATCTTTAATAATAAAAGGTCGTGCTTGATACCTACGATCTTCCTCTATAATCTTCCTCTATATACTCAGACGTCTGTTTGAGTATATAGAAAGAAAAACAAGTTTTATTATTCAAACTTACCTACAAGGCTGCAGGTCTTGCTCTCTCTCGCTCACACTCATCAAATTTGCTTTAAAATAAGCACTTACAAATCAAAGTTTTACTAGATTATGGGTTAATAAATTTTGGTCAACACACTCGTTTCATTGTTGTAAGGCTACATCCAAACTATATTGGCATTATATTATATATTGGCATATTAGATCAGTAGATGAATAAAGACACTCATTGTCATTGGAGGGTGATGAAACAAGGGCCGAGATAATGATATAGATACTTATTATTAAAAGCAGCTCATGAAATATTTATACTGATCCGTATCACACATTATAACAGAAATATTCGTACATATTGTCGGACACTTTGACAGAACTAACTTTTCCCTTTTCGTCAGAAGTGATTTGAATGTTGAATTACGTAATTTAAAAATGTCTAAATGGTGACTAAACTCAAATTCAATTCAATTAATATATTTATAAAAATATAAAAAGTTAAACAAGTATTGGTGTTGTGAATAGGCTACTTTTTGTCTCATGTACATTATTTAGTGACATTGAAAGTGTCGGTGTTTTTTCTGTTGCTTGGTTTCTAAACTTGACCCCGCAGAAGAGAAGAAGGCTGTGAAACGAAGCTATCAGAAGATCCAAGAAGAAGAAGAAGACGATGAAGATGACGACTACAGAAGCCACACCTCCCCTCATAACGCAGACATGTCCGCAACTCAGCTGGTAGGAAGCCAATATTGCACAAACTACAAAAAACGAATCCTCCTTCACAAGTAAAATGTTGCTTGTTTCACTGCTATTCCTTTTAAACACACTCTAACCCGCGTTCAGACGGAGGAGCTGGTGAAAGCCCTTCAGGACTTGGAGAATGCTGCATCAGGCGACGCAGCAGTTCGTCAGAAGATCGCCTCGCTGCCGCAGGAAGTCCAGGACGTTTCCCTGCTGGAGCAAATCGGTGGTAAGACCTGAGAGCTCAGCTTGATAAGAAATACTTTGTTCTTGGACTATTTTACTAAGACATGTTCTAATAAACTCTTCTTATAGTCAGTAAGTGTAGTACAGCAATATCCTGTACAATGTCATTGTGTCCACATTACAGTAATAATACTAGTTTTATTTAGAACATTTATAGATACTGCTTATAAAACAACACATGCTGACCAATAGAGAAGCTATACAGTACTAAATATAAGTGAAATGAAATGGAAAATAAATGTCATACTCTGTGACCTTAACAAGCCACTTTGACACCAATCTAGACAAGGAGGCAGCAGACAAGCTGTCGAAGACGGTGGACGAAGCGTGTTTGCTGCTGGCGGAGTACAACGGCCGACTGGCTGCAGAGCTGGAGGACCGGAGGCAGCTGGCTCGCATGCTGACGGAGTACATCAACAGCCAGAGGGAGGCGCTCATGGAGAGAGAAAAGAAACTAGAGGCAAGACGCAGCAGAGTAACAGTGTAGCATGAACTGAAACAGTGATCTCTGTCCGAATCCGTTTGTGTTAAAGTTGCTCCTTCACAGATTAATACTTTTTTCTGATACCAAATGAAATGTGCAATTTAAATTCTGGTGTATTACACATTATGTTTATTTGCTATTTTCATACTTTTGGCCATAATTCCTTTCTGTAGAATCATTGTACTCACCATTATTGTTGACATCTGGATACATGGCAACATTAATAACAAAGAAAAGTCAGACATCAGTTGAGTTAATCCAGCGTGTTTACAGCTGGTCTGATCATCTGACTGCTTGTATGCCCGTACGTGTTCCCAGATTTCAGAACTGACGGCCAAAACTAGACGCATAAGACCCGAGTTGTAATGCATCTTAATTGTCTTCTAAAACCACAGTCTGTGACCAAAATGTGCTTCAAACAGGCCAGAAAGCAAAAGTTACAAAACATTTTGAGAGAATATTGTGATAACTGTTATTCGTAAATCAGTAATCATTTGTGTCGTCTTGTCCTCTGCAGGAGTATAAGCAGAAACTGGCGAGAGTGACCCAAGTTAGGAAAGAGCTAAAGTCCCACATCCAGAGTCTCCCTGACCTCTCCCTCCTGCCCAACGTGACCGGGGGTCTGGCCCCACTGCCCTCGGCCGGAGATCTCTTCTCCACCGACTGAGAGGGCATTCGCCCAGAAAAACCACCCACATGCCCCTCCCCGACCCAAACCCAGCCACATGGTTGATTCACAGAACAATCCCAGCTGTGTCACTAGGTCAGAGTGCACATGTGGTCAAACCTCCCTCGGCAATCGTGCAAGACAAGAGTGAGGAAGGGACGCTAGAAGCAAGGTTTGGTGAAATCAAAATGCTCTGCAGAGGAGAACAGAGACTCTGTTGGCCTGGATCTTTCCAGCACTTGCTCGATCGACAAGGATTCCACTCCACCAGCTTAGAACGAGTTTGTTTCCTGATTGTTTTTACTTTTTTTTTTTTTTTAGGAGGAGGGGCGGGGTAAAGAAGCAACGCTTAGACAGACATACATGTTGGCTGTAAGGACGTGTCAATCAAAGTGTCTTCCTGCGTGGTGTATTGTGGATTCTGTGAGCAAAGGTATGCCATTTGCTCTCACAGTTCTCCGAGGTTGTGACTACACTGTGAAGAGGATGTACCATTCATTAGTTTTATTTTTTTTGGTTTTCAGTTGGTGGCTTTTTTATTGACCCATAGGCGGTCTCGATGTGTTTGTATAATTAGAGAAGATATCATCAGATTGTGTTCAGTGCATGTTGCTTCATGAAGGCATGTGGTCAACAGTTTCTAGTGGGCACACTCATTTCAGTAACACTTCATAGAGACGGTGATTAAATAGGTTTCGTCCTCGTAGTAAAAGACAATAGACATGCCTTGGTTTTCGTGCCCCCCCCCCCTGTTTGCGAGCGCTTTTCTCGTTTACAGACTTCAACTTTGTGATTCAAAGTTCCCATTTGTTTTCATGCATTCATTTGGACAGATGCTTGAGATAATTCTGTTATATGTGTGTACTGGACAAGGTTTGAGTTTTACAAATAAATCCTGGAAGATTGAGTAAACATTTCAAAACGAGATTGTTTGCTTTCCAACAGACTATCTGGTCTTTAATAGAATCAAACCCTAAAACTCCGAAATACAATATCTACAAGAACGGATGAGAAAAAACTACAAAGTATTAAATATTCAGTTTTAGTATGCAGAGCTGGGCAATGTAGAAATAAAGAAACATCAAGATAAGTAGACCAGATGAAGACCTTTTATATTACGTGTTTTGGTATAAAAAAAACAAACATTGGATGTAAAGTGAAGTGGACCGTTTAAGGATTCACAATTAAATTCAATTCTCACAATTAGTATTAAAATGGTGAATACTAATTTATACATATTGCTGAGCCCTACTCGTGTGTAGACGCTCAGTGATGAAGTATTTTACTGAAGAGAAGCAGCAACAAATTCACCCCTTCACGCCCTTTCTCATGTTTCTTTTTTTTAAAATGAGGACACAAACCATATCCCTGAAATGTATATGTTAAGGATATGAGTCGTGGCTTATTCCCCACATCATTTTTGGTACAAACAGTTTCATATGATTCACTTAACCGTTCTCTGTCAAAGCCTGAACATCATGTATTATTTGTTTAGCTCATATTTGATTTTCAATTGTCTGTATACCGAAAAAAAATATTTCAAGAAGTTTTATAAAACTTAATAAAAATGGTTTACTTTCTCTTTTTGATCAAGCTTTCAGAAGCCAATCACGGCTCCTGCTGCCGGTGAGATTACAGTCGCTGCTCCTGCTGATGCAACAAGCTCAGGCGAGGAATCATGCAGCAGATTCTTTACAGGGAACTCTCAGATTGATTGGAACCACAACATATTTCAAACGGCGTGGAACAATGTGATTCACAGCAGCTTCAGCAGTGTGAAACCAAGGTGGATGTAATCATTAAAGTCAAAAGGTGCGGTGACAAAACGTATTTGGTACTGGTGTGTTAGAATTACCCCTAATGTCAGAACTTTCTGTGACTTTAGAACATGAAGCAGGAGCCAATCAGTGTGACTGATGAAACCCATCCAAGTGACAGCCGTCCTGAAAGATAATACAGTATAAATGATAACAGAGAAGACCACTCAACCCAATTATATCGGGTTTATTTTAACTCCGTGTGCAGGTACACAAACGCACCACAAGACAACAAATAACACCAAGATTTGTATTTGGCAAAATTGTATTTGTCGTCTTTCTTCATCATCAATGACAAAATGATTCCTGTTGAAGGAACTACTGCTCTCTTCAACAAACAAAAGCTCTACTCACAGCTTTGGTAGCAGTGGCTTTATTGATACATTTAAATGTCATCAAATCAAGAGGAAAACTCTAATAATGATATTGTAACCTTCTACAGACACTCATAATAACAGATGGATATGGATCATTGTGTTTCATAATGACATTACTCAAGAAAATACTTTTACTGTGTGTAGTATAATAGTACGGTATGTTCTAGTACAACACATAGATAAGTGGATTCAAAAATATACAGTGTAATCTCACCTACTGTAGTCAGATTAATCAACAAAATAAAGAAAAAAGCAGTTACTGTTGTTAGACTTTGGCAGCTGCTCATTCCTTCACAACAACATTGATGGCGCTATTGATGTTTTTCAGTTTGTCACTGTCAAAGTTCACCAGCAGCACACTGGAGCCGGCCCTGGTGGGACTGAACTCAACGCTGGCCTTGGCTTCCTGCAAAGTGCCCACAGTTCCAATCCTGCAATAATTATACACAATGAGCATCACCAGCAAATAAATCACTATACAAATCACAAGACAGCTTCTTATACTTGGCTGTAAGAAACATTTCATTACTGAAATAGGAATAATTACGTGTGAGTTATCGGGAAAGTTCACTGTCATTTTAGGTGCATTTGAGTTTTTGTACAAACTGTAAATAAACGGTGATGGGAGCAATTAAACACACAAAGAAGAAAAGAGAGCATAGAAATGCTAAAAGAAATAATTTAGATATAAATCCACTCATAACAGTTGGGATGGAGTTGACGTACCTCGCTGTTATGGGTTTGCCGTCAGTGAGGCCGACCCCCTCTACGGTGAAGCTGCAGTCCTGCAGCGGCTCTGGTAAAGGGTTTGACATGGTCAGCTCTGCCGTCATGAACTGGTTCACCGTGGCTTCTCCCACCAGCTGCAGTGAGGTGTTCAGATGAACAGGTTTCATGATGTGAGAGGTTGTATTATGATTAAAATGATGTCATAATAAATCTGTGACTGAGTTACAATACATGATGACAGGAAATACAATGATTTCTAGTTAAATCTAAACTTTTCTCTGATCCCTGAGCAAGGCTGGTTCAATACCCTCCTGACACATGTAAAAATGTAAGTTTGGGTATTTCAGTTGTTTTGCAACGTAATGATATACTGTACATTGGTTTATGTCAAAGCTGAATAGAAATGACTTAACACAAAGGACAGGATTTAAGTTTTTAAGTCACAAAAAGTACAATAAGAGATATCTATAGATCTATCACTTTATTCCATGTGAGAGATTTGTGGCTTTAGGAATTAGAAAGTCCATCTTTGCAACAGAAGGTTAGAGCGACACCACTGACAGGCCCACAAAACCATTAGTGAAACAACAAAATAGTACTAATGTTCCGTTTTGGCCACGATGTAAAATTATTTATTTATTCGCAATAGGTTTTTAAAAAATGTAAGACGAGAGAGTATTTTTATTGCTCATGAATACGTTTCTTTCACCTATCCATTGCACATACCTTGACCTCCATCTGTGGCTCGTCCAGCACAATGGTCTTCTCAGCCTTATGGTAATGTGTCATCTGCTTGTCGATGGTGATAGCTGACAGCTTGATCAGCCTGTCAGGGCTGATCACTGATCCATAACGTTCATACTTCAGCTTTAGGGACAGACGTTTTTCTAAAACAAAACATATACATTATGCACATATTAATTAGGTAATCAAACCATTTTAACGCAATTTCAGCATGAGCAAGGGATTGTGACAGATGGTGGTGTTAAGCGTTTGCACTAAGATCGAAGCTAACCTTCTCCAGCGAGCACCTCCACTTTGTCTGATGTATATCCGCAGCTCTCTCCTTGTCTTCCGTTGTAGCCACCAGCTTCGGCGAAGAACATGAAGTTGAAGATCTTTGCTTCCAGGCAGTTGTTAGTGAGGACAGTGTACACCTCGAAGTCCGATCCCACGATCATGTTTTTAGCCAGTTTGATCTGAAAAGGGAATTATAACATGGTTTGTTTGATTTAAATCATACAATAATACGAATGGATTTATTTTTCTAAAAATCAGCAGGATGATTCTGTGATGTTTGAAACAGAACATGTTGATAAAATAGTTTGCGGTCAATTGAATTTCAAAGCTAATGCAGCGAAGACATAGGATTAATTTGATTTCTATCTAACCACCCATCCATTCATCTATCTATCTAAAGGAGACACTTAATGAAATCCATTTTCATATTAGGCTACATGCCAGTTAAACATCTCTAATAACCACATGTGTACTGTATGCCTGTCATACCAATTTTGTTTATTTTCCACTTGTGACCGTTTTTCTTTTTTCTTGCCAGTTTGCATATATTGGCATTCCTTTTGATGAAGTTCCCTTTGACATAATAACTAATGTTTCTGTTCTTTTGACTAATGAACCTGCAATTGTGGCACAGAGGATGTGGCCTATTTGGAGCTCTAGTGCTGCTTTGAAAACTCTCATATCGTTGTGCCCATCGTCAGATGTCTTTGCAGAAACGTTTTAGTTAAGTTACTTCAGAGTTTAAGTTCTTTTCAATGTTATTCCTCTACAGTATTTGTTTTACCACCTACATATGTAATAACAGTAAAAAAAACAACAACCTTGAGATGCAGCCCCGGCTCTTCTCCTCGCTGCTTTAGCTTGTTGTGGTGTTGTGCCTTCTCGTACACCTTTCTCTCCTCCTTTGAGCCTGAAAACCGTCACATTCACAGAAAAACGCAACAGTCTTGTTCAAGGTCCTGTGTCAAATACAGGTGGCTGTGTCTATATTCATACAGTGTGAGATGTATGTAACACGTGTGTCTCTGATTACAGTGGAAGGAGAATAACATAACTTAAAACATAATTAAAACATTGAAGATGCAACTGGGATCCTTTGAATATATTTAAATAGGTGTGTGGTTTGGAGTCTTTGAAGTCTGCAGTACCTTCTGGATACTTGTACTGGTGTGTGATGTCATGTCTCTCATCTGAGCCCACAGCCTTGGTGCTGATGAAGCATCCAACAGATTTAGTTGATCCACTGAACTGGACCATCTCTCCATTTGTCAGGCGCACCAAGTCCACAACATCGGCATTAACCTAACCTCACACACGGCGTGAGATGACATGAACCAACATGAATTATAAAGACATTCAGTCATTTAAACGGGGTTGCAATTTTTGACAAGCAATTGACACAACCTGTAACAGCAGAAAAAAAGATATGTTTATATACACAAATACTTAAACAGCATCTCTAAAATGATGTGTCAAAACACAAAATGAATCAGTTTGGTGGGTTAGCTTGGCTCAGGTCTCGTTATTAAATAAGACCTCAAACTAGGACTCTCATTAAAACCATTGCAGTTAATAAAGTCCAAGCGATTCTCTTTGTTACACTAAAAGGTTTGAGCAAAAACTCACCTCAGCAAAAATAAAGGGGGCATCATACTTCTTGGTCAGTTCTCCTTCCCTGATGGCGTTCAGAGAGGACGGTCCACAACAGAAAACCCCTGACAGCATCACACACCCAGAGACACACAGGGTTCATTTCAGCAGTCAATTCAGGTCATACAAGTCGTTCAAGTGGAACGATACCACAAGATAAGCCACTCATGCTAAAGATGTTTTGTGATGATTTATCACTTCCAGAGAGAATGAGCAGGTCAAGTATGCTAAAAAAAAACGACCTGTTGTTTTGCAGTCAGTTGTCTTAATACGAGAATTTGCTAAAATTGTGTAAACACTTTATGGCAAAAGAGATTTACCTTGATACGGGCGAAATGTAACAGATCTCTAAAAAGTGGTAAATCATCTGTGTAAGGTAAAATAGTAAAACAACAACAACAGAAAAACGTTACATGTGGTGATGGGTGATACATCACTTCTTTTTACTATGTCAAGGAGAATTGTCTCGAAATGAGTCAACATGCCAAATACAAGCTGTTACAAGATTGGCTATAACAAGATTGGCCATAATGGTTTTGGGGGAACAGCACAAACAACTAGACAATAAAACCAAAGTTTACCTTCACTCGTCTCCTGTGGGGTTGGGTCACTGGTTTGCCACCCATCAAACTTTGATTCCAAATCAGGACGGGTCATCCAGCTGTCCACCCAAACGTGGAAGTTCCTGGTAAAAATGAGTAAACAATAGCTAAATAACAATAGCATGCTTCGATCAGTACAATAATGTAAAATAAGATGTTTTGAAGACAGTTGTGTTCATGAATGAGTGTATGTGCAACCTGGTGATAATCACTACCACACACTCACCATATTGAATCACCATTAGACATTCTTTTACCGTCTTCATCGTACAGGTTTTCTATCACCAGGTTGGCATCAGTATCGTGAGCCGACCCAAAGTTAGTAACCACCCGACATGGGATACCCAGGGCACGGGACACTGGAGGAGGGAGAAAAGCCTCACTTCATCACAGCCGCTAACTCAAGCAAATACATACTAGAGATAGCAACTATCATCACAGACTATAAGACAATAAAATCATCACACGCTTCAAAGCCATGGCTTTAGTTCCTACATTTAGGGTTTTGATAGAAAGGTTGGATTGTGTGGCAGTGGACGGGAGTAGAGGATGAAACTGAGATGAAACAGATAGTGTGCTCTAAGAGACAATACAGCAGAAGTCAGTACCCTTTTACGAAATTGTGTATATACACACACACACACACACACACACACACACACACACACACTCCGAAATTACACCGTTCTCCCATACACTGACTATATGATGTTAGCCTGCATCTCACTGTTCTTGTCTTCCTCTTGTTATGTTTATGTATTGTCTCTTGAAAGAAAATAAGTTGCGTATTTTCTGACTTAAGGTGAGTGATGGCATGCAGTGGGTTGATTGAAATCTTTCAAATTATTTTAAATGCATGCATGCAGTAATGCATTTTTCTTTTAAATGGCATTAGGTCAATGTGACATGTGAATATCATCACTAAGTGTATGTAAAACACAACAACTTCACATGAAAAAAAACTTAATTTCACAACAAATTGAAAACTGTCTGTTGATTAAATCAACAGCCGGTCATGCACTCATACTGTTACATACTGTGCTCCAACCTGTGCATGCAAGACCAGCAAAGACCCAACATTGGCCATAGTGGACAGGGCCACTTTCTGCCCACTGGCGCAGAATGTCACCGCTGCCGATCCACGTTCCTGGATGAACCCCATCAGTCACCTCTCCCCAATTTCCCACAAGCACACCACTGTCATTATTACTGTTGATCTGTGGGCACAGACAGAGGAAAGACAACAGAGAGAGATCAAGTATAAACAGAAAGCAGAAGTGAATGAGAGAATGGGAATATGAAAGTATAATCATGAAACTTTTCACGATCATTTACATTTTTTTCAATTTCCATTGTTGAGTGGTATCTCAATTTTAAATCAATATGTACAATGTTTGCTTAAAGTTTTTTTCATTTGCTTTTCTAAACTTCAAGTGCAGATCCTTCATGGATAAAGTCTCCTAAATGATGTTTACAATTTCGACAGCAACACTGGCTTATTTGGGACAAATAACTCACAGAGGCCTGGAAAAACTAAAGCACATAACCGAAATAGAAATACAGAAATATAATATGAAAAAACACATTTCCATAAGCCTTAAGTTCTCTTAAGGACTCCTAATTTTCATATCAGATTTTCTTAAGACATCCATCAGCATTACAATTATGTAGCCATGCCAGATAATGAATGCATGAAAAAAATAAAAATAAAACATAGCAGATATCAGTATTAGGAAGACACATAGCCAACCAGTTAATCTGACCAAACGTGTAAATACCAAAGTTTTGACTATATGAGTGCAAAAAAACATGGTCAGTGCTGTGCCTGGGATCATTATATAATGTAGTGACAACTGCTGGACCAGTAGAAATAGACCTGGACTTCTCATTTAGCTATTTTGACTTGCAGCAGGAAAAACATGCCGACAGACTCGTAATTTATCTATACTCTTCTTTGTCACCTGCTTGGAATCAGAGCTGCACATGACGATACAAACTCCTTTCTTCGCTGCATATATCTCTCACCAAAGTTGCCTGGGGATACGATAAACTTTCAAAAGAAGGAGAATGGTTTCCCCTGGTCCCCCCTGCAGAACAATATGGGACTCGGAATATAAAGTAGCAGACAGAGGGTCTTTTCTGGTGCACCATGGTAATCTTTGCCTGCACAGCTAAAATAAAGGCTATTCACAAGCTGGTTAAATAACATCTACAGGGTCTTACTGAAGCTTGGACACAGACCTACCATAGCACTTAGCACCCTGGTCACATAAATGGGATTTCTCCTGGCAAAGCAGTCCTTGTCAGCGTCCGAGACAAATTTTGGATTTTCATCCAGGAGCTTCAGACAGATATCCAGTATTCCTGGTTCAAACTAAAGACAGACAAACAGATGAGACGGAAGGAGATTAGTGGAGCAGCATTTTTAAGCATGTTCATTTGGTTAATGACAGTATTATTATCAGAGTAAACTACATGGAAGAAATCTTATGATTGATTAACGTACGTGTATTCTAAAGTAGTGCCAAGTCTATTGCTCTTTTCTGTCACAGTGAAGAATAATTTAGAGATTATACTCAGTTTGTTGATCTTTAAAGAACAAATAACATTTGACATGTCGTGTACCTGTCCAAAGTTCCAGGGTTTCCCCTTGATTCGTTGAGGTGTTCCTCTGTAGATCTGTCCAGATTGTGCTAAAACATACTCCTGCCTCTTCATCTCACTGCGCATGTAAACAGCATCACCTGTGAGCCAGTACAGACAGAGCACACATTTAGACCGGCATGACCATACTCAATATACAGTGAAATTTCGAATCTGACATTTCAATGCTTTACAGCTGCAGGTGGACTGTAACTTATCTTATTTTTTTAACATACATTTCGTTTTGCAAATGATGTAAACACAACGATCATTGATAAGAAAGGAAAGACATAACATAAATCATCATATATAACTTGGAGGAAAAACATTATGTACTCACTGGAGCACCAAGCATTAAAAAGCAGGGTGAACTGTCCTAAACTGGTCTTCTGCCCGTCCTGGTCCAGAGTCAGAGAATAGACCCCTATGGGGGCGTTGGGTGAGGAATTGATAGATACATTAACTGTGTTTCCGGAGGGATCATTAGAGGCAGATGCGCTCCACTCAGTGTCCACAGTGGAGTCACGCAGACCAAAAGAAACCTTAGTGTGTGATTCTATTCTGGGTAACGGACCTGGAGAGACAGAAATGGACGTAACAATTTAATGTAAATCCAGATGAGAGAAACACAAATCCTCAAGCATACTTGCATTCCTGCCTACACGCTCCCACCAAATGTATCTTTCTCACTCACATACTGTGAATAAACACAGAAACAAGACGCTTACCAGTTTCAACGATGAATGTGAAGCTTGTTTCACCCGGTTTGATCCCTTTGCTGCCAGGTTTCAGATGTAAAATGATCTTAAAGGGCTGTCCCCTTCTCACAATCAAACGCTGCTCTCCACACAGGTCTGTATGATGGCTACTGCTGTTGCTCTTGATGTCAAGATCGCAGTGCTCAATATCCAAAGCTGTGTGTAGAGATGGACACACAGATCACTTGTCACATCAATTAACAAGTTCACAGAACAGACAAAAAATGTGAAAATTTTACTTCATAACTTAATGAATTTATCTAAATTTGATCGCCCTATAGGAATGTTTCTCTAGATGATAAATCCCAAGAAATCAGCAAGACATTCGCTAGTGTTACTCTACTCCAGATCTGACGTATCTAATGTCATCCACCATTCCTGCTGATCACATTTCATATTTGACTTTCAATCTGACACTTTAAAATAGTTTGACTCTGTGAAGTAACACAGAGAGAAAATGCATATTCAGCTGCAGGTAATGCTCTCCAATAATAACGTTTGAACCACTGACCTACAATATGAGACAAATTAAAGTTTTCTTCGTCCTTACCTTGACTCATGTCTGCACTTAAGTTGTTGCCCCTTCACTTCTGTGTGGAAAGTGACCCTTCAGCTGCAGCCTGTGCTTATAGCTTCACGGTCCTGCAATGTAACGGCCCTTGTATTTATAGTATGTGAAATCTGATCTTGACGCCCCCATCTGTCTATTTGTTGCATCGGTAGTTCTGTTTTTAGACTTAAAACACTTTCTCTTAATTCCTCTTTATTCATAAATTTGACACTGACCTTTAGATTTCTGCTGCTTCACAATTGAGTTTAGTCTTTTGTGTGTGTCACATAATATAGAATATAACATAACTCAATACATCTACATCTACCAGATTCTTTTTAGCGACTTTTTTTCATAAACGATTTATGTACATTTTTTTGTCAATTAATTTATGATTTAACATAAATCAAATATTATAATTCAAGATTAATCAGAAACGGTTAAATTAAATTCTATAGTGTAATTTCCCATCACACAGTTAAAACCTTTCTGCAACTTATAAAATGTTTATGTTGCAAGGCAGTAAAATACGCAACATCTTTTTCTCACGTCATATGATAGGACTTTCACTTTTACATTTTTGAGTTACTGGGGGAAGTTGACAAAAGGTAAGGAAACTGCATCTTGAGTGTGCATTTTTTCTGATTGGTGCATGGATAAAAACAGTTCGATGAAGGCTGAACAGAGGACTGTGGGTCTATATTTCATCAAATTTGTGCGCAAAATGTAATAAATCATTTTAGCCAGTGAAATACCCCTGCAACTTAAAATAAAGAACTGAAACACTGATTTCAACTGCAGTGGTGTTCAGCACCAAACTGAAACCTGCACAAAGGGAAATTAAACCTTTTGCAATAAGTATCTGGCTGTCCTTCTGAGAAATGGCTGTGTCTGTGGAATGAGGAAGTGAAGCCTCAACACAGTCTGGGACCATACCTTCATGTTCCTGCAGTCTGCCAGTTAAAACGGAAGAAACCACACACTACCACAACTTAGAATCTATCTTAAAAAAAATAAAAAAAATAACAACAATCGCCTCTACATTTAAATAAGCAAATAATAACACATCAACACATTAACGAAAAGAAAAAGCTTGGAAGAAAGCAAGTAAGCAATAAAAATATGGATCTTCCATGTCATAAACAGTTAGTGACTTTAAAATAAAATAAACAGAGGATGACAATATGACCTGTTTCATCAATAATTTATTAAGATTACAAAATATTCAGGAAAATGCTTTTTTGTAATGGTCATGTTCTATGCGGGTGTAGCTGGAGCATTGATCAGTATATGGAACCATTTGCCTGGAAGCTTTGAGTCATCTACTGTGTCTGTGACTATGCAATAATTACACTTGTGTAGACAACCTGGTCTTTCAAGATAGTTGTATCTATGTATGAAATGCATGGGTTACAGAGTAGTTCAAATCCAGATATGAAAACACACATATGCAAGTGGTCAGTCCCATCTGATAAATTATTAAATACAGGACTACTGTAAGAATCTCAAAGCCAGACAGATAAAAACAAATGTTTAGACAGACAGCAGCAGTATAAAAATGGCCCATAAGAAATAAATAGGAAACGCTTTAAGTGTGGGGAAAAAGAAATATCTTTATATATGAATTACATCTATAATAATAATACACCATCAAATCATTTTACTTCTCTGTATATGCACAAGTCTCCACATGCTTTTATGGTCATCGACTTGGACCATCAGCTAGTTCTGGGCTTCGGGCCAGTGAACAGCTCTGGACTGTATCTTGGACTTGAACAACAGTTTCTCTTGTGATCTTGTAACCAAAACAACGTGGTTCAGTTGTCAACAGAATAATGATGCTCTGCTCTGCCTGCTAACAGAGGGAAAAGGAGCATGACACACAGAGCGATACACTTGGATGCGTGGTGATGCTGGTCCTGTGTGTTTCTTCCACACAAGCTGTGGATTTCCATGAAGATAATAAATGCAACCTTCATTGATCCCTGCATATTAATAATTGTACCAGCTGCACAGCACAGAAGATCCCACAAAATAGTGTGTCTCATGATGAGTCCGTTAACCACATCATCCATGTAGTGCCCTCTTCTTCTTTCTTGCTGAGTGGTTAGTCTGTATGTGATATGGACAGTCACATTGGAACGACTGGCACATGATACCAACACATCAAACCTCAATTGCTTCAGTAAATCATTAAAAACAAAACATTGTGACCAGATGAACCTGACTGCCTTGTGACTGTGTAGCCACATAAAATAACTTTGTTCACACGGATTAAATGTCTGTCTGGTGGCCATAGGATCTCCCACAGGACTGAACAGCTTCAGTCAGATGATCTGCAACAATATTTAAGAATAACAGAAGCCATTGATAATAAAAAACAGTAAGAATATACAATATATATAATAGTAAAAACAAAAACAATAGGCAGAGAGATGACATAACAGTAACAAACACAACAAAAACATACATGACAGGTTAAAAGCAGATTTAAGTTGATGATTATGTTTTACTTTTCTCAACATTAAGATGAGAAAATGAAGATTATATATTCTTTTTTTTACATTTTCACTTTCTTACCTCCTGCAGGGAATCCAACGTTAGACTTCTGTTGATTTTCCAATTATAATGTCATCCCTCTGCAATGCAAGATATCAAATATTATATCATAACTCAATAAAATAGTTAAAAAAAAACACAACATATGAGTTCTTGGTTAATAATACTGATTCATCTGTTTTGGGGATTTGCTGTTCTAATAGAGCTAATAGTTTCTTGAGTGTTGTACTTTATCTTGACAAACATTCATACCTTTTTCAAACCACGACGACTTTAGAGAAACGACGTGTGATTGAGATCATTTTCAGTCTTGACACGTTGTCTTCAGTTGATACATACATACAATTAAGCGGGTCATATTGTTACACCTTCACCTGTACCTGGGTGTTAGCCAGATGTGGAGGTTTTGGGGTTACACCTGGTTTCTTTCTGGTAACCACTGGTGAGCTGTCTATCCTCAGACTGGGTGTCCGACAAAGTGGTGGATGGGGCTTTGAACTCTGGGATACAATCGAGGAGGTGTCGTCCACTAACTCTCCACCAATGGTAGACAGGTAGCTGCGGTCTGAGCTGCTGAAGAGGTTGATGCATTCCCCAGATGATTCAGTGCTGTCCACTAAAGCAGAAACGGACCCTTTAAGAAACAAAAAAGACAGAGATTTGTGCTTTACTTCACACTTTTGGATACCATTATGGAATTCGAACATTTCAATTTTCTCATTGTCCAGATATGGTACATATCAGTGGGGGCATCTGCCATGGTGTCATTCTTGGTGCTGCCACCAGGTGGCGCCAGACTAAATAATTTTCAAATCAGCAGTGGCTTTAAAAATACTTTCTCATATTCAAATGTCATACTTTAGGTTGATCATATCAAAATGTTCACTGGACCTCATCTGTACTATTTTACGTTTTTTTAAACTCACGCAGTGGATGATGCCTCTTCCATTGTTCACAGTTACGATGAAGATGATGCTGACGAAGATGATGATTGTTGAGTTCATTTTCAGTCGCTCCCTCTGGGGAGGAGCAGACAGCAAGACTGGTCTCCTCTGCCCCCTGTGACTGGTTCCCTGGATAACCAGCAGGGGGCAGCGATCCCCGTCCAGAGGAGGAAGATGATTGGCTGAGGGTGGTGGAGGCGGTGCTGCCAGAGCCAATGGAGTGTGGTCGTGGATAGTCTAAGCCCCTGTGTGAACAACAGGCCACAGGCACTGACGACACACATAGATAGATGCCATCACTGAGAAATTAACGGGCTGGGTCAGTGAGCAAAGAAGGCACAAGCTGTTATATTAGTTTTTTTACAATTAGGTTTTGTAAAAAAAAAAGTTTAGAAAATAAAATAAATATGGAAAAAAGACGAGTCTACAGCCATGCTAGCTGCCCTGTGAAGCTGTACACATGAGTGCTTTCAGTAAAATACTGACATGCTCACAATATTAACATGCTATTGCTTAGGAAGTCTAATGTTTACAATGTTCATCTTTTTAGTTTAGCACGTTAGCATGCTAACATTGCTAGCCCATATATCTTCAATACATTTTGTAAATAAAATCTAATCAATAACTAGTAGGAATGATGGTCGTGTGAGATCCTGCAGTGTATAGGTAAAATCCTGACACATACTGAACCCTGTAGATTAACATTAAACTTTCTTACAATAATCATTTACATACATACATACATACAGGTATGACATTTGACCTCTGCATTTAACCATCTTAAGCATTGAAACTTCGGTTTCAATGTCTCGCTCAAGGACACTTCGACATGCGGACAGTGGGAGCCGTGGATTTAAACGGCAACCGTGTGGTTAAAAGGTTGATCTATCAACTGAGCCATAACCACCCATTTATTCACAGATATATTGTGTATTATGAATAAAGTGTTACTAAGTTTGGAGTGTAAAATGTTTTCACTTAAGTTGCTGCCAGTCTGAAGAAAATATTTTGAAATTCTGTTGTCAAGAAATGTTTTGTGTGTTGTTACGCTGCTTACTTCTCCCAGGCAGGGCGCAGCTGACCGCTCGGTCACAGATGGCAGCATCACTGGGTTGAATGTCCATGAAGGGTTTACGGCCCATTCCCATGAACACCCTTTCCTGCATGCGCAGCTCTGAAACATATAGTTTATTAAAAACACGTTTTCTTAAATCCTGTCCAGCACTTTGTAAACTGTACTATTAGGTAAGTGCTTTATAAATAAGATATGCTGTTACTACCTCTACTGTGAGTGGCCTGATCCCACAGAATCCTCTCCAGGTCGGTGGTCCACGCTTTCTTCACCTCCATGCTGGAGGCCTTCAGTGTGTAGGTGTCTTCATTTTTTCTTCTGCGGAACCAGATCTCAAAACACAAGCTGCTCACACTTGAGTTGTGGGTCATCCCAATGTCGCTCGTCTGGGAGAGAAAACACAATCAGACACAGAAATTACACTGATGTAAATAAATACATGTGGTTAGATGTTTTGGTTTCACTAGGAAGCTTTGCACCAAAACTGGATAATAGAAAACACCTGTGACATAGAATATACTGTAAATCTAGACAGCAAAACAAGGGGTAATTAGGCTTTATTAGGTAATAAATTCAAGGATGTGTTAGAGACCTTAAATGACTGCTTGTAGACATAAACATCGTTGCCAATATCTGTCCTCTTGGTCTTGCTGAAGAGGATGAGATCTTCAAAGAGAAAGATGCGGCGGACACATTTCTTCTTCCTAAAGAAGACTGTGAACTCATCCTGGCGAATCAGCTGGCCCTGCTCTTTCAAATTCACCTGATAGGGCAGAAATATGTACAGCAGAGCAGAAAGGAAAACTGTTAACTTAATGTAACTGCTGTGTGTCAGGTATATCCTTCCTGTCATTTTGATATCTTACATCACACTCCAGGATGGCGTCCATGGTGAGCAAATCATTGCCGTGACGCATCTGAAACCGAACCAGGTCTGCAGCAGCTTGGATCTCAGCCCTCTCCCGCTCCCTGTCACTGCTCGTCAGATCAGGCACATACGAACCCGGGCCACACACACTTTGTGTGCACACACTAGATGCGAGCAGTGTATCCTGGATCATGTCTTTTGGCCTGTATGAGCCAGCCAGAGCCAGCATGTCCTGAAGCAAGAGGCTGTACTTGCTGATCCTCTGGATGGGCCTCAGCAGGTAGGATGAAAGGTCCATCATGTCCCCCAGCTCCTGCTGCTTCTTCTGTGAGGGGAAACAAAGTGGGACTGTAAAGTTGAAAAGGTAAAGCATGACCCTAGTACTCCCAGTGTGTGACGACTACCGCAGCCATCGGATTTCAAAATGCAACTTCTAAGATTTGTCCTAAAATGAGAATTGAGTTTCTGAGGAAGATGGAGCCTACACAGTGTTACCACCAAAAGGAATGGGGTGTAGAACATCTGCTGAAGAAGATTTCAAATGGGAAACTCTCCCGCTTGTTTCAGTTAAGAGAAAGACAGGACACGTAAACTGACCTTGAAGATGTCATGGCGACGGTGCAGGATCAGGGCGTCTGACAGAGGTTTGTTCTTGCTGTACAGAGCGTACAGGCCAAAACTCTCACTCTGTGGAAAGATTTAAACCATATTAGGACACAAATTAAAAAGCCAACAATCATCTATCATGATAACTTTGACTGAAATCCTGCTACTGTATGTGTCGACTTCTGTCTCATCACATCTTGAGAAGTAGGATGTGACTATTCTGTAATTTTAATTGAACAATAAAAAAAAGACGAAAAAGACAAATACACAAAATGTTGATGAACACAATCAGATAAAAAAACTACGCTAAAACTACAAAACAAAATACAAACATTATAAACAGAAATAATATACAATATCTAACTTCTCACATGTCTGAGAAAGCAGCGGGCCACCATGCCGGGCTCCCTCTGGCAGGCCTCCAACTCTGGCAGGAAGTAGTGACTGTGGAAGTCGTAAAGCTTCTCCAGGTTACCGAAGATGACTCCTCGCTTGCCCCTGAGGTCCTGGGGGATGTCTGGTCTGTCCAGCAGGGGGAGGTAGTGGGTCAAGATGTAGCCCAGTGAGCGCACGTACTCCCTCTCAGTGAACACCAGCTCCTCCAAGACACGCTGCAGCCGCCTGGTGACACAAACAGAACAAATCTCCACTAACTTCAAACACAGACTGTCACTTAGTAAACCACAGTACATATTATATTCTATCTATATATCCAAAGGCTTTCTTATAATTATTCCTTTGATTTTGAACTAATGATTTGCACTGTGCTTTGCTCTGAGAATGAAGTTGAGCGTAATCATTCATCATTTTAAGTTCATTACTCTTTTTTTCCTTATACTTGCCTGGTAACATGTTCTATATTTTATCATTGTGTGTTATGCGTTCGTTGTTATGCACACTGTAATGTGAATTTGATAAGTGCTCTTCAATAATATATCATTTAGCTTTTAGTGTTTGCAAATAATTAATTTTATCTTCTCATCCTTTGTTTACCTAATTTTTTATATTTTTGCATCTGTACAAACCAAATAATATTGGAAAAGTTCCTTGTTGTATTTATTCTAAGTCTGAAGAAGTGACGCGATGAAAGGATATTGAACTGAACTAATATTTAAAGAGGCTGAAAAGCAGTGTTTTGCTGCCTTCACTGGGCAAAAATGTCAAGTGTCTGACCGCAGCCATGCATCAGTGATTTCAAGGGGTGGTGGATTACACGTGTGCGTCACTGCGGTAAGGTGAGAAGATAAATCACTTTTACATTTCAGAACATGATACAGTGACATGCTGTCATTTTACTCTCTCCACATGCAATGTGATAGAAAAGAAACATGCCAAGTATGAATGAATTATGGGAATGAGCCCCTGTCCACAGACAAGTAAAACGCCCCCCCCCATCCTGCATGTCAGCTCCTCTGCTGCAAACATATTTAACTTGATTCAATAAGTTTGCTGTACGCTTACCGTAGCCTATAAATAGGCAGGCAACTCTATTACATTGCAAAAAAAGAAGAAAAAAAAACTAATATATATTAATTTGATTGCATTTCATAATAAAGGACTCAATTTGTTATCAGGAGCCAAAGATGTTACCGGGATATCCCTACGTATGACTGAGCCTAATGCGATACATAGATCTCATTGACAGCCTTCACTGTAAACAGAGGGGTTCAATAATCCACCATGTTGACAAGTATAAAAAGAGAAGCGAAGAGAATCAGAAGAACAGTACCTGTAGTACTTCATTGGAAGCTTACAGACAGAAAGAGCAAACGAAATCTCATTAAGACTTACAAGATTAAAGACATTCAACTCACTAAATATTATCTTACAAGCATATTTTCCAACATGTAGTAAACTTACAGGGCATTGCCGGCACTCTCCTGTGGTCTTGCCAAACAAAACGCCCCCTCATATCCCCCGATGGGCAGGCTGGAGTGCTTGCCGCATGAAGTCCCGTTACACCCTGCAGCCCCCCGGTCGCTCATACAGGACTCTTCTGAGCAGAAGCTCCCGTGGCGGGAGATCTGGAACTTCTGAGCCTCTTGGAGGATCCGACAGGACGGCTGACCGTGGTGGGAGCAGGATGATGGGGGTCGAAGCCTCTGCTCCGGAGGAGTGGACGACCCCGCTGTTGCTACTCCTGTGGTGCAAGAGTCCTGGCTCGCCGACCTCGCTCCAAGACCTCGTCCCCATGGAAACCACTGGCACCCGACAGTGTGGGACTGAGACAAAGCAGCAGCGTCCCTCTCACTCCTCGTCTGTCTCCTCCTCGTCTCTCTTTCTGTTCTTCTTGCTGACCTATTATTAAATGGTTTCAAGCAATTTAAAAAAAACAAATATCAGCAGCGTCTAAAATGTGTCAGGAACATTTAAACGAGTGGTACTCTTCAACAGCAATGTCACAGCGAATCAACAAACTACTAAATCCTTGTTGAGGGAGATGAATGTACCAACAAATTACCTGGGAGGTGACTGTGGAGTGACCTTTGACCCCTGGCTGGTTACAGCATCACTGTGATCCTCAGGTGTGATGTTACAGCAGGCTACAGTCGTTGAGGTAGTGTTGTTGCTGCCCAGGATCGGCCTTCTCTTCCCTAAATCCACCGCTCCCGTCACGATGCCCCCCCACTGCGGGTGCCGAGGCCCGGGCGTCGATTGTACCACCAGACTCTGGCCACCGGAGGACGGCATCTGAACATTAGTGCTGACCACATCAACATAGTGAAGTTCACACCAGCTGCTAGAATCTGGTTGATGTTGGAAAACCTCCTCCACATCCTGCATCCTCTCCTGAAGCTGCTGCCTGGCCTCCTGGCATCTCAGCCAGGCTATGTTCCAGACCTGCATCCCCCTGGAGCCCTGCAGGGCGCTGGCCTGGGCCTTCACCTCCTGAAATCTCTCTGGGCTAAACTGGAGGAACCTGTCTTGGAAAGTCTGGAGGACGGAGGTGTCATTGCTTGACAGTAAAACACTGGTGGTGGTGGTTGTGCCTGAGGCATGTGCTGCGTGGTTATCAGACGGGCAAAGGGATGCAGTGCTCACTCTGCGGTCTTGGTTTTGGTGTTGTATTGGCTGAGTGTTTGTTTGATTGACAGCTGTTGTAGTCTGGTCACGGTCCTGCATTGTGTGGATTCTGGATTGATTCTGGTCCAGGTACTCAATGCATTCGCTGGCGAGAGCTGTAGCCTGTTTGGAGAGTACAGAGGTTTTATTTTATACATTTACATACACATGCCTTATACATTAAATATCTGTGGAAAAAACAAAACAGCATGAGATTATATGGATATACCAATCAATCTCTGTCGAGAAGTAATGACCTAATTATTTTGAGATTACATCACAAGAGAAAGGAGCATCAAAGCAACATCAAATGCTACATTTTCATTAATTGTTCTACAACAACATAATTGGTCTACTCTGTAATTATAGTCTCTGCAAAAGTATTTGAATAGTTGAATAGTTCAATAATCTACTTAGTTCACTAATAATTACTGATTTTGGCATTTGAAGCTGCTCAGCTACATTATTGTGTAATTGATTTAATTCGGTCCTACATCATTCTACATTTAGGATGTACACTCATTATAGTAGTTACATACCTATATGCTGGAGCAACATAATTTCATTCCTGCCAAAAATTATATTTGCAAAAGAGTAATAAAAAAATTCAAAGGGCACAAGCTACACACTGGTCTTGAATACTTGAACTTTGAATACTGATAATGATTTATCTTACACCAACCTGCTCACAAAAATCACACACGTTGACCATGATCTGCAGCTCCCTGCCAGATGCCTCCGCCCTGCACAGAATGTCCTCCAGGCCTGACTTGAAGGTGCTGACTAGAGTCCCGAACGCCTCCGTCTCTGGGTAGGGGAACCCGCTCTGCTGGAGTCGCTCTGCCTCTGACACCAACGTCATGGCGTGGTGCCTTCGATCCTGGAGGAGGAGGGAGAGAGAGAGATTCAGACGGGTGGACAGACAGAGACACATAACTACATGACGGCCGCAAGAAAACATACTCACATTTGCTTCGATAAGGAAACCAGTGAAGCTGTTGAGGATCTGCTCCATTCGGTCTCCAGAGTTGTTGACTGATTCAACCTCCAGCAGGTGGTGCTCTCCCTCTACATGAAACCACTGTTGCATCTGGAGTCATGGAAGATGGACAAATATGTTGTGTTTATTGGCATGAGCATGAGCTGAATTCAATATAAATTGCCATTGTTCAGTATACTGCTGTAGAGAGTCAGTGGGTGGAGGATTGTATGCTTATTTTTGATTGTTTATATGTTTTAAAAGAACACATACTGCCACTATTTCTTCACATTACTGAACTGCAACACTGAACTGTAACACTTTGTGTTGCCAGATTTATGTGACAATAACCACAACAAATGAATCTATTTCAAACAAAACATGCGTTTTACCATTAAAATACTAAATCCTGAAATTCATTGAATGACATTTGACCTACTCATCACCATGACCAAATGATGGATTGTTATCATTAGATCGCTGGGTGTTCATGAACTCAGGGACAAACAAAACCTAATATACGCAAGATGCATTCATCTGAACATCTGAAGGCAGATTTGACGGTCAGTTTTTTAAAAACGTACCTGCATGAAGTGTCCCTCCACTTCTCTGAGTTGCAGCAGATACTCCAGGTGTTCCAGTGACATGTTGGACCTCTGCACGAGGACATGAGCCTGCTCCTCCACGTGGTTGTACAGGCTGGTCACCGAGTCCACTGCATCACTGCGTACGGGAAAGAGACAGATCATAGACGTAAGAAAGACAAATAATAGATAAAGTGAACTAGTGTTCTGGAAGATAAGGATTAGGCAGCATATTTAGGCATAACGTGGCTTGACTGGAAAAAAAATGGCTTAGGACAGCCAACTGTGGCAAAAAACTAATTAAACTCAACTTTTGCTTTTCAGTTGCACAGAGTCAGATGTTGTGTTATGGTTACATTTTGATCTCAAAATATGATGGTGTTTCCACTTCAAAGGACAAGAGGCTACTATTTGTTTTTGTCCTGTGTATCTGAAATCACTTGCTATCAAATAATAAGCCTGGAAGTGTGCTGCAGCTGCACAAGTTAATAATTAAGCCAGGTATTTTTGGTGTGGTGGTTGGCAGGAATATGTTTAATCTAGTGGTTTATTTTCTAGCAGCTAGATGTATATTCAATCACAGGGTATCAAAGGTGTTAACAGGCTTATCCCAAAAACGACTGTAGAGCCAATAGCTAGGTGTACATAATACATAAATATAGCAGATGAGAGCAGGAGTTTACCTGAGGTCCTCGCAGTGCGGGTATTTGAGGTCACTCTCCTTTCTCAGCCTCGCCAGGATGGCCCCGCCCTCCCTCTGCAGGCTGACCAATCGACTGTCCTCCAGGACATTCCTCATCAGAGTCCTCTGGTCCATCATGCACTGCTGCAAAGTCTGTACGGCAAAAAGACGTTTTGAGATCAGCAGATGATACAATAACTCCTTCAAATCAACAATATTGTTATTAGCCGTTTTCCATGTGCATTTATCAAAAGCATACTTTGATATAGCTCGAGGAGCAATAAATGTTTTCCTAATAAAACACACACACACACACACGCACACACATTGTGTACTGTATTACCAGTAAAGACAGAGTTACATAACTAAGGATAAACCCAGCTTTCAAGGCCCAAACAGCAACGTGAGTAAACAGTCAGCATTAAGGTACCTGTACAGTGTCTGTCCTCTGGGGCTCCTCTAACTTGCTGATGGCTCTCAGAAGAAGGCTGGATGCCTCATGAAGATCAGACACAAATGGGAAGAGTTTCTAGAGAATAAAAGATGTGGACATGAGTGAATCATGTGTAGTTCAGAGTCAGTGCAGAGGAGGGAGCTAATGTATTGATGTGACTGTCTCACCTGGTGCAGCTCTATCCAGTCACAGTGGCTGTGAGACAGTGTGCCATCCAGGCGGGAGCTTAGCTGACTCACCTCCACCAGCTTGAACAAGGCTTTCATGGATGTCACCACTTCAGTCTGCTTTGAGGCAAAAAGTGTCAAAGTAACATCGACACGTTTTCACAGCTACAGAATGGACAACAGGGAAATTCTTAGGTCATAATTCACCGCATGACCCCCTTTGTGTCTTAACATACGACAACTTATTCTACTTTTTTTCGTCTTACCTAAATAACTTTTAAAAAAACTACAAAATTACGAAGCATATCCTCAATGTATAAGCTGTATATGGGCACAAGTCTCCTGACCAGAGTGCTAAAGCAACCTTTGAAGTTAGAAATACAACAGAACGGATTAGAAAAGTCATTCGGATTCATCCTCTGGGGACCCCTGCATGTTACATTTTCAAGGTAATGTGTTATCAAGATATTATAGTCTGATGAGCCAAAAACCCACTGACCAACTGCCATTGCCATATGTGGCTACACTGCTAGCATGGCTAAAAACACACCTTGATCAAACTGATCAATGAAGCGTAAAGCCTTCTCAGATGAATTATTGTTTATAGAAAACCACACAGGAATATTTCTCCAATGGCGGCGTTTTGATATTAATAAAGAATGAAAAAGCTGACCTGGATGCCGGGACACCTCTCAGGTCGAAGGCTGTTCTCCTTATTCACCAGCAGCACGGAACTATTTACTGCATGGGGAGTCTGCTCCTGCAACAGTTTAACACATAACCACATTCGTAACCACATTCATGCATTTTTTATTCAAGTTACACCCTTTTATTGATCATCACAAATACATCAGAGAATATTTTACACATATGGGCATCAAAAAAAACAAATTTCCTTTTCTTTCTGTGATTCTTACCTGAAGCATCATCAAGGCCTTATAGAGCTGCGGCTGAGGATTTGTCCTCCTTGAATCAAAAATGAGCATCAGCCCAGCTTCTCTGACTTCTCTCCTGGATACAGAGAGACAGAAAAAAAGCGACCACAATAAAACAGACATGACCACAAAGATGCCGAAAGTTAGTTCTAGTATGAATTTGATTAATTAGTTGATTCCTTGATTCATTCATGATTTACTGGCATATGGATGCTACCTGGTGATAGTGCGGAAGTAGAGCAGCATCTGTAAGAGCTCTTGGCTGGTTACAGCTGATCTCCATCCCTGGTGGTGTCCATAGAGCTCAACTATTGCCCTGCCTGTCTTGTCTCTGCCGCCTGAAGGGGTAAGAGAGAGAAAAGATCAGGGAACATGCTGTTCTCTGTGACTTAATGACTTAATCTCCAAAAGAGATACAGATATATTTCATGTGTTTTATTTTTATGCAATGTGAAGAACTTCTGCTTTGAACAGTTGCCAAACAATGTATATTGATTATTATTGTTATTATTGTTGTTTGATGTAATTTGCTGTTTCTCAAACTAACTTACCTGTGATGGAGGCCACTCCTAAGTAGAGGGGGTGGGCTCTGGGGTCTGGGGATCCCAGTGGAAGGTGGTCAGGTCTGGGACGAGTAGAGGCAGGCTGGGGGATCTTCTGTGTCTCTGTTGCTGGAGGTGGATCTGTCTGTGACGGGTTCTCCATCTGATGGCTATTTCTACTGGTTATGAACTCACTGCCAGGCTGAGCAGCATCTGTAGAAAGTGGACACATTTAGCTGTAAGGAGGCTGATGAAGGATGATTTTCATCTGTTAGTAAACAACAATGAAATCAACCTATTGAACCCTACATGCTAAAGATCAAATTAGATCTGAATATGATACAAGAACAACATTACTTTGTACCTGGAATGACCATCCTCCTCCTGTTGATCTTGGGTGAAACCAATCCAAAGGCTGTGCTGTGTTTACATTTGACCACATGCAGCTGGGGAATCTCTGCACAGGAGCCAGTGTTTTCTCTTCTTCTAATGTTTTGACCTTCCACAATGACCAGCGCACACTTCTCCGAGGTGTGCACCACAGCTGTGGAGAGGGATGAACATCTTCCATCTGAAATGGATTCATGTCTGTTCTGTGGTGCTGAAAGAGGCTTAGGAAAGTTTGGACTCACTCCCGTGGAATTGGTTCTGCTTTGTAGCCTCTCACGAGGCTTGAGGGTCATGTTCATTGCTGAAATTTCAGTTGAAGTAACCGGTAATCTGTGGTGTTTGGCAGAGATCACATCTGACTGGTTAGGATCTTTCAAGCTTGTCCCGTTCACATTGTGTAAATTGCCATACGTTTTCACAGAGTGTGCATCCCTTGGTTCCCTGAATCGCAGAGTGGTCCTTTCAGTTGTTTGTTCTGGTAGACCGCCAACGTTTAAAACATTTGTTCTCCTGTAATCCATACAGGGGGCAGTGTTTGTATCTCCTTTTTTCCAATATGGAACAGTGTTCTTCTCTCCTGACTCCTTACAGGTGGCTCCACTGACAGAGGGAGGAGACTGGTGTTGCATCCCGGGATCAAACCCTGTTCCTTGAACATTGCACCATGGATCCACTGTTTCAGTCTCTGGTAGTCTTTCGTCACACTGTGACAAATCGCCATCCTCCTCCACCACTGCTAACATATTCCCCCTGTTCTTCTCCTGCCCAAAGGGGACAGGGTTTTGTATAGCAGCCTGGTAGGAGTCCCTGTATCGACACCTCAGCTCCTGAGATTTGGACGCCTTTCCGCCTTGTCTTCTCCTCATGCACGGGGTACAGGGTTTCTCTGAGAACCGGACAGTGCGGACACACTCAAAAGGTTCAAGGGAGTCAGGGTGAGGGTGATGGGATTGGGAATGGTGGAGAGCGGTTTCGGGTTGGGGCGTCAATGATACAGCAGCCTCTGATCCAGAATGACTTTGTGTTCGTGGTTTTGTAGGTAACTGCCCATGTGCTTGTGACTGTGCTTGAGGTGGTGTCTGTGTGTTAGGCTGCATTTGTGCTCGTCTGTGTGGATATCTTTGCCTTTGCGGTTCGATTTGTGCATGCGATTGCATTTGCTCTTCTAATTTCTGTTGTTCTTCAGTTGCTGACTGAGCTCTACTAAAAAGCAGAGTTGCCTGAAGAATATCAATATATTCTCCTTCGGCAACAGTGTGGCCTGTTGGCTCTCTCCTGCTTATATCTTTAATGTTTGTACCTTGATGTTTATCTGGCCCTATATTTTCAGAAACAATTACACCCTTATCTTCACGTTTGCAGGTAGTTGTATCTCCACTTGCAGGGGTGCGTGTGCCTGAAACAGTGCTCGTTTTTGTGCCTGTACTTGGGCTGGTCCCAGTGAGGCAGCTGTCCCAAGTATTAGGAGACACACAGCCAATAGGCTTAGGCTCACTTTCAGTCTCTTTCAGTTTGACTAGTCTAGATGAAGAAGCTGCGCTAGCATCCACGAGGCGGAGTGACACAGCAATGCCGTGCCTCGCTGGACATATTCGGGTCTCCACAGAGAAGGCAGAGGGATGTGAGGAAGATGCTAAAGTAGAATTTTGAATAGTTACAGGATACTGTTTTGGTGAAGATGTCTTTGAAGGAGAAAGAGGAAGTGAACGATTTGATGAAGAATTCTCAGGGAAATGAGGAAGAGGTGGAGGACGAGGAAGCGGCGGTGGTAAAGGAGGATATGAAGGAGGAGCCGAGGCCATACTACTCCCAGCACACAGTGGCACCTCCACGAAATCCGGCACGGCCACCCGTTCCCATGGCAACCTCACCACGCCCCGCTCAGTGGCGAGCAGGCATTGGCTGAGAGGCGTTCCATGGCGGCCCTGGTTGATCTCCTCCAACCAGTCACGGCTGAATATACAAGGATAGGATGTTTCAGCAATCGGAGTCTCCTCGACAACTTCCACTATAAGCCCCTCCTCTTCCAGGAGGCTGCAGACCAAGACGCGAGCTGATTGGTTACAGAATGGTGCCACCTGGAGGTAAAAGTCGCCAGGCTGAAGTAGCAAAGGGTTGATGGGAGCGAGGTGGACGACAACTTGGTCACGTATACATAGAGGCCAGCCCTCACACAGGAAAAGTACATCAGAGTACTGAGCCTATAAGGAGAGAAGGACATTATAGGGTTTCAGTTTTAGAGGTACATCAACATTTGTGTCTATTTTCATTGTAAATTAAGTCGAGCAATAAGATCTTAGAGCAGCTCTATTCCATATTAACACATGTAAAGAATGTATGTCTCGATAGACAGTCAACAAGACAGCGACTTACACATGCAGCCTGCTGCACGGTGTCTAAGATGTGCTTGGCTGGGAACAGAAAGTCCAGCAGGCACCGCAGAGCATCTCCCCGATAACGTCTATCAATGATTTGGAAGAGCTGGCTGAGAAGAGTGGGGGCGGTGGCCTCAAAGGGAGGGTACAGCACCGACAACAGGTTCTGGATCGAGCTTTCCAGAGAATCGAGGTTCTGAAAACACAAGAAAAGAGAAATCAGAGGCTTAAGAATAGCTTTGCTCGATATCCTTCTGGTTAATCAGTTACAAGGTGGTCAGGCCGGGATCTGTGGTTACTCCTGTATATATAGACCTACGCTACTTGGACAAGTTGTCATTTAGTCAGTAACATCTCAAAGCTAAACGTCACACCAGTGATTCCAGGAATACCTGCCATGTACTGAGATCTGTGATTTTCAAAAGAATAATATCAACATAAACTCTGCTGTACTGACACATATTCACACGTTGAACCACTCGCACAGTGTAAAAAAATTAGTTAAACATGCCACTGCACTCAGACAACATTTCATCCTCAATTCAAAAAGCAAATGATGAATCATTATTTCTGCTTTTAGTAAGTAGCTTGTTCATATTTATGAGATGGATTCTTGAAGTAAGAATATTTATGCTAAATCCCTACAAAAGCTACAACTAATCTGAATTAATTGATTAGTATACTATTGATTATATAAAAAAAATAGGCAAAGATTGCCATTACAATTTCCAGAAGCCAGAGGAGAAGTCTTAAAATTGCTTGTTTTATCTGAACAGCATACCAACATTTTGAGATATTTAATCTACAATGAAACAATACAGAGAAAAGCAGAAAATTCTCAGAATAGAGAATCTGGAAACAACAAATGATAAATGACAGGTAATTGATTAATATTCTTGCAACTGAATAATCAACAAAAAGCATTTACTTAAATCCCCTGTAATGTACAGTAGAGCCACACAAGAGGAAACCTGGAGTCATTCACATTCATCTCACTGGCGTCTTTAACAGTAAATTACACAGGCCTTGTCCTCAACCTTGTGGCCTGCTCAGGGAATAGCTACACAAACACAAACCCTCTGTGCTCATCATTAAACAGCCAGCCTGACAGCAAACATTCAAGTAAACACAGTGTGTGATGGCTGGTCTCAAGGCTAGCTAGCCTCCCGGTTTACAGTTTCACATTCCCTTTGACCTGAACCCAGGGCACGCTACCCAATTTTAGGCGCCGCTTTATTTAGCACCCAGCAAAGGCCACAGCAGCGGACCTCGGGGTTCATGTATATACACGTATGGCTGAGGCTCTGTGAGAAGATACATGGCATCAGGAAGGGTTGCATGTGTGTCGACGCACAAGATGAATGTTGTTGCCCTTTTTCCCCCAAGGCATGTGTTCAGTGCCATTTACTGTGTGAGATTGCATCAATGACAGTGTAGGAGCAAGTAAAAGGAAAAGGTTCTGTATGCTGTAATCTTCTTCGAGTGTAATGAATCATTTAATACAACATTTAGATACATACATTTAATGCTTTCTACATTTAATCGATACAAGTCTCAAATTTGTTCCACTGATCTCACAGGTTCCCAGCTGTGGTGATGAAGAAAGACAGACATGGATGTAGGGAGATGGAAACAGAAGAGGGTGTGTTAGGGTGTGATGAGTTATGTCCCCTCAGATCAACACTAGTGCTCAGTTTCTCTCCAGCTCTGCTATCTGTTGTGCATCTCATTCTCTGCACCTTTGAGAAGAAAAAAATGTAGCATTCTTTGTCTTGCATATTCTGTGTTTTGTACATATTGTTTGTTTCTTATACATCTGCTTTTGCGTGTTTTTTTCCTCTCTCAAGCAACTAGGGCCATCCACCCTCTCTGTCTTATCTCCTTACATTATTATCTAAAAATGCAGAACTCTCAGCCAGTCCGCAGCCCCCACAGCTCCAGAAACAACACTGTGACTCAGAGCTTTCTGGTCAGTCCTGCCACACCTTGCTGGGACAAAGCACAGTGACGGTCATCATAATGATAACATGAACGAGGAGAAGGAGGAGGAGGAGGATGGTAATGGAAGCAATGGGGTGGTTGTAAAATGAGAGGAGGACGAGGATGGTGGTAGGCTTAGAAGCACAAATCAAATTCACCTCACAGCTTATAAAATTGTAATCAAATGCTTTCCCATCCTGAAGACAATGACCACCTGCATCTCTTAAATAATGTCAGTGAGTGTCAGTGTTTTTTCTCAGTTGTTGGTGAGGGAGGTCTAGGATTTTTGGCAAAGGGCAGCTTGGAAATTGCAGGAATTTAAATGAATGTGACCTTAAGAAGAAAACTAAACAGTGATGTTGGGTTGGGTCCCCTTGGCAACAGTGATGGGACATGTGAATGCTTTCGAGCCTTTGGAGTGCTTACAAAATAAGAGTGAAATTTTACTTGGAGCGCGTTTACACTGCTGGTAATATGAGTCAGCTGTGAGAGCAACACACATCACCAGTTACTGTATATCTGCCGACAAGAGTTTCACACTGTAATGCTGTTACCAGTTAGCAGCTTAGTTGAGTGTGTGCTTTTCATTTATGGGTTTATTTATGCGTTTATTTATGCGTTAGTATGTGGTGTATGAGAGGACTGTATGGAGCTGGACCAGCACAGTGTTGCCGCAGATTCAAACGGCTCTATATAAACACCCGGATCTCTCTCACTCAGTCACTGAAATAAATGACGACTCACATTACTGTGGATAAGATGTCCCAGTGAGGGAGCTGAGAACAGTTTGAATGTCTCTGTCCGGTATCATTATGACACAGAAATAGTCTGAACACATTCCTGGTGTCAAGCAGGTTCCTGCCTGGACAAGATCTAAATATTCAGCAGTGATAAAATGGCTTGTGACGTAATACATTCCTGTGGGACATTTCTCTCCTGATAAAGTATTAAAATATTATTTTATTAGTATGTTTTTCGGGCCTTTTCCTTTTTTTTTATTTGACACTATCTGGCAGAGAGGAACTGTGGGGAGAGGTGATGATTTGATTTGAGCGAGGATGTTGAATTACACAGTTCGCATCTTAGATCCCTTAACTAGGCCAACAAGATGACCCCAACTGTGCCATTAGATGGCCACATTTTAAACAAATAAAATTATTTGCACAAACTAAATCTTGGCATGAATGAAAACATTCACATTTTATTTATAATCTCTATTTCAGTGTTTTTAAGAGTTTTGAAAAAGAAAACCGAATAAACCAATAATGGTTTTCATGATTGCCACTGTACACTAAGTTCAATAGAAGATGAATTTAGTCTGAACCTGTTATTTGTATAACTACTACCCTCCCCCCCTCAGTTCAATGAAGTATCCCCACAGTCTGTGTAATATTGTGGACACAAAATGCCTGAGAAATATGTGAAGCACAATAAGCTAAACTGATGTGACTTGGCCAAACTTCAAAGCCTCTACAGATACTGATACGGCCTCTAAATAAGCATGAAAAGAATCCATTTCCTGCGTTTATGTCTGCGGTTTTTCAGCAAAAAAAGAAAAACAAGATTCCCCACTGGATTACACTAACTACTGCTCCCCACACAAAGATGAACTGATATACAGACATGGATTTACAGTATGTAGAGGAAGGAGTTCTTTCATCTTGACTTTTCAGGAACTTTGAACAAAAGTCTTACTTTGAAGTTGAAACAACAATGTATTCTATTGAAATGAGTTTTAAAAAGACTAGACAGACGACGGTGTGCAAATAATCCTCATACTGGATATGAAAATCACCTCAACAAAAAGGAATGAGCGTCCTGAAACTAGCTACTCCGGTTAAAACAATGTCGATCAGCAGATGTGACTCCAGTCATCATGGCACATCTTTCACACCTTTAGATACTGAAATGTTGGTGTAAGATATCTGATGTCACACTGGCAGTGAACACAAAGCATCTTTGGCAGCATTTCTTTCACACCATAAGTGATGTTTCTTTTGAAAATGTAGATTAATCGACAGACTGGTATAATTTTAATCACATTCAAGTAACGTAAAAACAGGAAAGTCCCTCTCTAGAGCAGTGTTTAGATGTGGAAACTTGGCCGTGTAACATGGCGGACCCTTTGAAGAGGACCCGCCCCCATGTAGATATAAAGGGCTAATTTTAAGCTAACAAAAATACAATGATTCTTAGTTTCAAGTGATTATACAATGAAAACATGGTTATGGATATTATATTACATTTCTGCTAATAAATTCCCCAAAATGCTACACACTGTGCCTTTAACACATGATTTAAATCCAGTTATGTCTCCTCTTTGGAGGAGCTACTTACTACGTCAGACTTTCAAGTTTGAATCTATGTCTGTTAACTTTACATTTGACCTGTATCCACCTGCTGTGCCGCATTAGAGCACAAATCAGAAGAAGTATGAGTCCTTAATGTGACTTTTAACCACCTGGAACATTCTTAAATACTGGTGGATCATTTTAGATGCTGAGTCAGTGAGAAGTCAAGGTTCAGGGGGTTTTGGGCCAAATGAAATACATTAGCTTAATTCTTATCAAGGCCAGCAACTTTTCCACCCCACCAATCTCAATCTAAGAAATCTCTGCTACACTGCGCACAGGTTTTTGCTGCTGTCTGTATGTCCCAATGGAGTAACACTTTATAGTTATGGGGAAAATGTATTATCTATCCGAGTTGAGATATAGTGTGAAAAATGCCTGCAGTTCTGCAGAGTGATACAGCCTGTTAGTTAAGGATTCATTTTGACCAAACCAGAGCTGGTGATTATTTGATCCGTGGAAAGACTAACCAAGACGTGTTTGGTGTTTTATTTTGTATCTGTCCAGTTTGAATGAAGTGTGTCTTACGATGAGTTAACGAGGCAATTAGGCCTCAGGTGTACAGTGTCAGGATATTTCCTTCATTGACATTGTGTGGGTGTAATTTGTTTATTAATCAGACTACGATAGAGCTTGTGTAACCTAAAAACTCCCCACTTGTGTGCAATGCATCCTGGTATATGTAGGCACAGCCGGAACGACTCGGCAGCAGGAGAGATCAGCTTTGTCTGTCAATATAGCACGAGCTTGGCAATTTAATCCTTCAGTGGATTCCACTTATCATCAGCAGTGATTGGACAACCACATTCAAGTTGGCAAATGGTCTCTTTAAAAAGGCGACTGAATACTCCATTCTACAGTATGTGGCCATCAACAAGAGAAGCTACTTTTGAGATTATTTTCTCTTGTAAGAAGTATTTTCAAAGTACTTTTCTGAATGGCACAACAAAGCAATATGAAAAACTAAAATGTGCACTATTTGGTCTATAAGGAGTTTTTCCTGGCATAGTGTGTCGTTTGAAATCCCTCGTTTTAACAAACCTTATAGCACTGTGAGACTTTTTGCATCTGTGCTCGTCTTTTCAGCACGAAGGACTCTCACACTAACGTCTGATGAACTGCTGTTTTCAGCCTGCTGCTCTGATGAGCCATTCATTGAGAATAACTTTCTGAATGACAACAGCTCTCGTACCCTGACCAGGAAATATCGACAGTGACACAGAATCTTAACTATTTTTTTAATTTGGAGGAAAATTCAATTGTGCAGTTAACAGATTACCGACTGACGCATAAGTTGTGCACAGAAGTGTCTCACATCAGGCATGGTACAAAATGTGTGATGATGAAGAGTCCCCTTGTTAAAACATATGCCAGATGCCTATAAAAGTTAAGAGTCTTTAAAAGGTGAAGAAGCAACATGTGGAATCTCATTTTCTGAAGTTGTTTTCCGATGAATTACACCTACAAATCTTTAAATAAAATTACAAACTCAATTAACTAAATAATTACTGTAATGAAGGCCCCATATTTACGATGGCTTTGTTAATGTTTATGCCTTTTGTGTCCAACGACACATCAGAAAAGGAGAAGGTTCATCTTAAAGTGTTTTAAATGTCTAATACTATAAAGTATTATAATTTGACATCACAAATAAGCCTAAATCTGATTAAACCAGAGGAATGTGTCCTTAATTCATTATTCATTTTGGAATCAATTCTTTGGATGTTTAATGCTAGTCGTTGGCTCCCTACATTGTTGCAACGTTATACAACAGCCCAAATGGAGATTTGAGATAAAGACACACACAATATCCAATCGTTTTAAGTTGCCCAAAAAATCTGGAAGATCTTTTTTCAGCATTTCTTGTGTAAATAATTTACTATTACTGTGCTATTTACAGCTTGGAAATCTGCAGCATAAAAACAGAAAAGGTACTAAATTCCATCTTCTGTCAAGGAGGGCTTTACTTTTTTGGAGGAAATGGATGTCCCTAAAAGATACTATGTTGTACCTTTTAGCCTAAAAGCTGCACCTTTAGACTAAAATGGTACAAAGCAGGTTTTTTTTCTGAGTGCAACATCTTGTGGCCCTCTACCTGAACACACCCGGTGACATCCGAGCACAAGCAAAAACCAAATTACACTGAGGTTGGACATAAACACAGGCTGTGTCGAGCTACTGTACATGACCACTGAGGCACCGAGACGGCCAGACGGTATATTTAGTAGCTTCACAGGGATCAGCAATTCGGAGCTTGCGGAAGGCAAACACTAATCATGACGGCCTTGATCAGCAGGATGGTTTGAAGGTGACTGTAAAGTAGCAGTCAGGAGGCAGCAAGGCCGGTGTTTAAGTCATTAAAAACACGTCAGGGAATTATGAATGAGCCGAGGCTTTAAGCACATCTTTAAACTCATCGTGAGTGACTTGACGTGTTTGCGCCGCGTGTGTGTGCGAGGCGTGTTATTATATCAAAGTGTGGCTCAGCTTTCACTGACACACTCATCTCATCTGTAATTAACTCACAGCTGTTCTTAATGTAACTCACACCGGCTCATTTCACAGCAAACAACCAGAAACGATCACTTAGATACAGGAAAAACAGATGAAAACGCAGATGAACTGCACTCAGTGATGCTAATCAGACCCAACATCAAATTGCATCAAATCTTTAAATGTATCACAGTGAAGCCTAAAACTGTGCAGACACACACAGATCAAATCAATATCTCACTAATTGAGAAATATGAATCAGATAAAGCTTTATCTGTTTGAGTGTATTCATGTGTGCAGCTCTGCAAAAACCTCGTCTAAAAAAGACTATTAGAAAGCCTTTGATGCACTGAATCTCAAAACTAGGCAGGAAAATGATCAGTGTATGTTTTGCTCAGAGAGTAAACATTAAGACTTTGCAGTTGTCCACCCTCATCAGAGCTAAACACTTTGAACAGCTGCTTCACAGCTACACCAGCTCAGTCAACCCGTCAACTCAAAGTTACTTTCAATGAAAAGTTCTTTAAATCATTGGACATGTTGCTGCATACTCTGAATACAGGTGTCGACTAGATCCTATAGCCAAAACGGCATAAAGAAGTCTGCTCCATGTAAAGGTAAGGTGATGATTTGTAGTTTTGCAAACAGAGCTGTCGTGTATTTCCATTGAATCACCAGGACGGGACAAGACGTCCTTCTGCTGAGAGAAAAAGGATGCTCTGTGCAACCGGGTCAGCACAGGAACAAATACCCAAACATTGAGGTCACTCCCCAAACAGGAATAGTCAGGTTAATGGACTCTGGCTTCAACGTCATGGCAAATATGCAGGAAACAGGGCGGGAAAAGGACAGCGGTGTGCACACACTCACAGTATCCTGCCAAATCAAACCTACGGGAGAGCTGGGCGGGCATTTTAAAAGTCAGCTCCCTACTGTACATAACATCCTCCCAGAGAGTGAGCGCCAAACAAAATCCACTTTATGTGCGACCGGCCACACCCTCTCTGCAGCCGAGGTGTGACAACACACACATTCAGAAACTTCCTCGTCAGGATTTGCAGGCTGCGACTCTCAACAGGCCAAACTAAGACTGAGTGTTCCAAATACAAATCCATTCGACAGCACTGATTTCTAACATCACCTCCCTGATGCTGTCGGATAGTTTATCCTCCTCCATGACTCACTTGCCAGTAAATGGGCATCCAGGAAGGGGGCAGGTACAGTGGCTGGTTTGTGAAATCTGCCTTAATGCTCGGTAACCTGAGACCTTCACCTCGAGTCAAAACACTCCGGCAGAGAGCAGCGGCCAGTGTGCGCTATGGGAGCTGTAATTGTACACGGTCAGTGTACATCTGTGCATGTTTCAACATAAAAGACTACTTGTCAGGACTTAATAAATAAAAGACCGTGTTACTATTTAAGAAGGAGACAGAGATGTAACTGTCACGTCTTATAGGTTACAAGGAAATCCTACATGAATGAATCATTCTAAATGTGATAAAAGAGAAAAGGTGTGTATTATAAAATGTTTAGGGATGTTTTTCAATTAATTGATTAATAATTTAATCTATAAAATGTCAGAAAATGTGCAAGGTGATGTCTTCAAATTACTTGTTTTGTCGGAACAGTTCAAACCCCCGAAGATATTCAGCCAAAAAAAAAGCAGCAAATCTTGAATAATATTTGCTTGATGAATGACAACGACAAATCGTTTGTCAATTCATTTTCTGTTATTAGACCGATCGCCTAGTTGTTTGAAGATGTTGCTCAAGACTTGGAGGTCAACTTCTTAAGTAGGAGTAACTGAAAGTACCTCACCCTCCTCTGTCATCTCACAGAGAGTCGTATGTTAGGAAAATTATGGATTAGGAGTTGAACGCTGGGAAGATAAAACTCCACAGGACATCCAACACCTTTAGACGGGTTGGTTTTAATATAAATTGTGATTAGAAGGTGACAGTTACAGCAAACAAAAATGACAAAATCCTGCGTGAACAAAGAGATAACAGGATGGAAGTAAAAGCATCTCAGAATAAACAGAGCAGATTGTCATATTACCATTTTCCGATCTGCGTGCTGTCATCCCCATTCATCGCAACAGCAGCGGTGTCTGAAATAATCCAAAACGAGTGACAGTAATCTACAGAGCTGCTGCTGCTGGTGCTCGGTGGCTGATGAACCAAAATGAAATCCATTCTGTGACACTCGTTCACAGCCGAGTGAGTGAGGACAACCTTAAGCCAGCTGGATGAGCATTCATTAAGTCCTCAGCTGAGTTGCACTTAGTCTTTGATTTGTTTTTCTCTCCCTTTCTCCGTCTCTGATTTACTGTGTTGCCTCTGCTTCCTGTCTCTCTGTGTTTGCTCTCTCCCTCTCGCAGCACCTCGAGTGTCGGTCGCTATGTATGTCTGAAAGTGTCAGAGCAACCAAACATGAGGTGGGTGAGAGAGAGAGAGAGAGAGAGAGAGAGAGAGAGAGAGAGAAAGAGAGAGAAGCCTCACAGTAAATGCAAGTACATGCAAGTGCAAATTCTTAGTTTTTTTTCTGTGGCGTCTTCTTACATTATGGACACACACATACACAGGGAACAATAGTAGTTATTATTAGAGCACCATGCCAAAAAGGAACATAATCCTTGATACCAACAAGCTGTGTGTTTGTACACTCAGTGTGTGTGTGTATCAGATTGAAGGAAGATGATGAGGAAGATGGAGGGGTCTGTAATTAAAACAGCTAACAAACATTTTTCTTTTACTTGACTTTTAAAACTACACTTATGACAATAACATATATTTGTGTTTTGTTAGTTGAAAAGAAAGACAATTAAACCACATGTCATTAAAGAGTATTAAACAAATGCTGCACTACTTGATGTCGAATAAATCTATTTACTCTGTTTTCATTTTAAAAGAGTTAAATATTAACACTGGCTGTGTAGAGGTGAGTGTACAAATAAACAGGAGGCACAACTTGAAGAATATGGGCATGACATCATGTAAATATATTTTACTTAATTCACTCTAATATTGTATTTTCCTGCTTAATTGTACTTATTAACGTGTGCTGACCTCAAACTTTTTATTTCACTAATTTTTGAAAACTGCAGATCAGGAGGGAATCAGTGAGGATCCCAAACGGCTAACAAGTTGTAACGTCAGTTAAAAATAGTTAAATATGCTCAATGCTGTCAGTGTGGCAGCAAAAACCACCATCCACCACAACTGCGCTCTTTCTGTCACATGACCATTGTCAGGACCACATCAGGAGAAGCACTTCAGCTGAAAAGACATGAACCAAAGGATGGAAACACTACCAAATCATATTTGTTATAAAGTTCTTCATCATGATTTAGGATATCTGGGTGACGAATGCTGAAACTAGAAAAGAGACAGAAAAAGGATCGGATATCAAGGAGAAGTGAAGACGTGAGAGGGGAAGAACAAGTGAAAGAGCAGCAAGAATATCTTGTATGTTTGACCTGGTCATGTGAAAATAGAAACTAAGAGTGGCAGAGAGACACAGACTGACATTGAGGTCGCTCTCTCTGACCCAGCACATGTGGAGAGACATTAGGTCATTAAGTGAAATACTCAATTACCTATTAGCTATGTTTTTGATCTCTACATGCTCCACTGGCTAGCTGCTAACTTTGTCTGCCGTTTGGTGCCAAGCAGATCGCGTACAATGGGCTACAGCTGAAAACAATGCTATGAGAGCGGTGAGAGTGAACCAAAACTGTAAAGTTGTAGGCCTGAAAACCAACACAATGAATGAATGAATGAAAGGCTGCATAGAGCTGAGTGGATCTGCAGAACCAGGTAAGTTATCAGTGTTACTACGAGTGACCCCTTTCGCATTCAAGTTGTCATGTGATCAATTGTTAATATAAATATATTGATTGTAGCAGCTTTAATCTGTCTAGATATGTACTCATTTTCATGGTACATTGGTATTTTTGCAGTAAGTTTATCCGTGTTTCAACTGTGGAAGCCACAAAGAAAGAGTAAAACAAAATAACACTTTTTTTATGTGTTTTGCTGTTTTCTGACCACCATCTGCATTTTGCCTCAACTAGTGCAGTGGCCTTGCAAAACATGCCTGTTCGGAATGGGCCCAATGCTTGGCCTGTGAACCGCTCATCCAAACAACTTTGACACCGAGCAATACACCTGCTATGACATAGTTGCATCACACAACCAGGCGGCAGCTACTCAGAAGCCCCAGTTAAATAAACCCTGAAAAAACCCTCCCAGGTCTGCCTACTAGTGGTCAGAAACACTGGTGAAATACACTAAGCGGATGTATACATTTCCAAATAGGTTGGTTATAAAGTAGAGCATGAATTCAGACTCAGTTCACAGAGCCCTGAAGGAGACCAAATTGCACCAAATTTGACACAGCGTGTCCTTGGAATTATGTCGATTTACTGTACGTGCTGTGGCCACAACTAATGGTCGATGAATCTGTCCATTATGTTTGTAATTAATAAATTAATTATTCATACAAAAAAATAAAACATGGACAGTCTTTACTTTGCTTGTTTTGTCCGACCAGTAGTCCAAAACCCCAAATACATTAAATTTACAATTATATGAAACACTGCAAATCCTTACATTTGATAATCCAACACAGATCATTTTAGCTTCATAAATGGCTTTGACACATTTTTGTTCATTCCTTTTATCAACTAAGTGATAAATCAACTACTTGTTCCAGCACTAATGGGTGCTAAAACTATTAGGTACTATACTAGGCATCATATTGTCATAACTAAACGATACCTTGCCCTAATTGTGTGCATGCAATGGCTGATGTGATGCACAAATGAGACTAGAAGGAAACATCAGCTGTTTCTTACCCGGCAACTGAACAACTTTTGTATCCTCACGCATCTGAGAGTAACGTGCCCTCTGCTTCGACTTCTACAGTTGAGAACAAGCCTGAGGACAAACATGTGTGTTGATGTAGTTGTTATGTAGTGGATCATTGTTGTCCTCATGCTCCACCTCCCCCGCCCTTTTTTTTTGTTCTTCCTCCTCTAGGCTGTTAATGCACTGTCTCCACTGGGGGACAAGGCAAATGTGCAAAAGCCAAAAAAGGGACACAGAACGGGAGGGAGAGGGAGAATGGGAGGAGAAAATGTCAGGGAGCGGGAGTGCGGGAGAAAAAATTGAGTGTGACAGCATGTCGGTGGTATTAGGCTTGAGAAGAGCGAGCGTGTCCTTGCCAGAGGAGAGAAGCTGTTGATTCTACTGGTCCCAGCCAAGGCCTTGTCGCCCTTGTCCTCATCTCTCTCTCTCTCTCAAAATCCCCTTCTTACTCAGTCGCTCCGTTTCACTCATGCATATTATAAACAGGACATTTTACTTAATCCCAAATCTCTGCCCCTCCTCCTTTGCTTCTTTGTCAGCTCGTAAACTGTGAATTATAATCTGCACAGAACCGGTTTTCCTGGTTAAAAATACCTCAGACAATAACTTATCACCCTAGCGGACGTTGACAACAGCTTCACCGTGACACACACTCACACAGGGTTTAGACGAGGTTCAGACGAACATCACTGCTGAAATAAGACAGTGACAGCTAATTGCTACTGTATGATGCTTTCTCATTTTTTTGACTGCATTTTACTGTCCACAACAATTTATGCACAACATAGTTTTACATTCTAGCTGCACAGCAGCTGCACTGTTTGCTCACAGTTATGCAAACACTACAGCTAGATGCATCAGTCAAAGTGGGAACAATCTGCAAATTAAAAGCAATTTAGAGATTTTTTTTCAACCTGACTGGAAAGCAGTTTGGTTGACCAGTGCCACTTAAACGGTCAGAATATAATAAACTGAGTCTTTCCTAAATAATGTGCCTCAAATTTCCAGCACCCGCTGCACTGCAAAGCAAAGCAGCTTAGAAAGCATGGATTTTCAATTTAAATTATTTGTCACCTGACATAAAACATACCGTAAAAAGTATTTGCAGGTGGTATTTGGTTGTATCTGCAGTCTTCCCTGTCGTCTTTCTATTTATCCCGACTGTGAATGTCTGTGTAACATTGACAGCTCCAGACATACAGTATAAAACCAGCCAATAAAATAAGCCTGCCGCTCTGAATGCAACACTGGCTTTACTGTATTTGGAAGCAGCGCAGTCAATGTTAAACTGTGTCAGAAGAGAATTTAAAAAGGCGTGCATGTGTTCATGAGTCGGTGTATATACTTTGTTACAATAGCCTTAATGGAGCGGAGTGTTTAAAAGCTGCTAATCCCAGTCAGTGGTGGAAACAAACGTACCTCGAGCCTTGGCCTTCTATTTTTGCCTCCAGCATCCACAGCACTTCAAGCATGCATGATCCCGAACTCTGGTTTAGGCACCTCATTACCATTCTGTAAAGCGTTTAACATAGCTGGGGATGCATGTCCTCCAGTGAGCAGACGGGAGTCAAAGCTGGATGCACTGGAAGTTCATATGATTTACATTTTTTTATGAGCAATTGGCTGCTTCAGTGTTTCTCTGGCATGCAAGCATTTCTGGGGCAGTAAACAAAACAGGCATATTTTCATGAGCTTGAATCCCATCCAAGAGGACCGACAAGCAGCTGCTGAAGATTTCAGGAAGTTATTGAATCAAGTTTAACATTTTTGACAGTAGGTGATGCTCTTATCAGAAGCTAAACCTCCTCTGTTATTAAAGCTATTATTGACATTTTAATGAAACAATTAAAGTAATTACATCACAGTCTCTTCCCCATGTGTCTTTGAGTTTCTACAAACCAGTGAATCAGGGCCCCTCTATAATGCTACATTAGGAAAATATCCCTCAATGTGTTGCAGCATAGCAACAATACTTCACACGTTTTGAATAGTTAAACTTGTGTGTTATTAGACACACTGTAGAAAAAAGATAAAGAATGAAATTTAAAAACACGCAAATGTAAACGAATCAACAAACAACTTAGCTTCCACTGGCGCGGGACAACTGCAACCCAAACTTAGAAAGCTTATCTTATTAACTTAACTTACTGTCTTAACTTATTGTCAAGCTTTACTGTTCTAATAGAAAGCATCATTAGATACAAGAACACTGCCTGCCTGGTATGGCAGCATCAAATCAGTAACCTGGTGCAGTGATTGTTAAACCATCTGGTGAAAAGAAAAGATATGAAAAGAATTTGGCTCTAACTCAATCTGAAAAACAATAAACACGAGCTTTAAGTCATGCCAGTTTATGCGTTTCATGGTCTGTAATTAGTGGTCAGTAGACAAGTAAAAAATGGAAAACAACCCTATGGTTTCTCTGCTGCAGAAATGTTCAGCCAAGCAGCAACCACCACAGCTGGTCCTTCCAATGTCAGTACAGTGCACAATGTCTATGTGG